ATATAATACATAAAAAAAAAAAATATTTCAAACCTTCATAAATGTTAATTTTATAATAATACTATTCGTGATTCATGACTGTTTCTTCTCACAGGAGGTTTTTTCTTTTTATATATCAATGTTTATGACACATATATTTGGTTTATAATTATTCTTTCTCATAGATAATTTTTTATTTTCGTATATCAAACATTTGATAGTACAGAATTTATTTCACAAACTATGAAACTATTGTCGGGAGAAGAAATGGGAAGATGAATAATATAAATCGAGTTTTGTGGTATGGAGAGAGGGAGAAGTAGAGAAAGAAGCTAATGATTTGGGGAAAGGATGAAGGAAAAGAAATGATTTTCCAAAGCTTTACTTTCACTGTTATCTCTTGAAAAGGAAGCTTTATCATTGGTTGATTGTGACTGTGACTCTCTGAAAAGGACGATCCCTTTATAGGAACTTATATATATATATATATATAACATCGATTTATTCTTTTTTTATTTTCCACTTATAAATTATATTATTACTATATGCTAACAAAATAAATAAGTTACATAAATTATAAGTCGAATGATCTTCAAGCAAAAAATTCAAAGGCATAAAAAATCATTTATATTTCTATTTTTTTAAAATAAAAAGTTACAAAACATAACATATTAACAAATCAAAATGCTTATTTCTTTTCCTTTGACAATAAATTAAATGAATCAAGATTCATGCATTTGCAATAAAGAAAAATCATTCTCTTAGTCTTTCCCAGAGACAAAATATGTCTGAGTTAATTATAACAAAAAGAAAAAAAAAAGGATTGGACCTGATTATGTGTACTGTTAAACGGACATGGCAGAAATGCCTCGTGGTTAAAAAAAAAAAAGAAAAAAAAAAGACAAGGGAAATTCAACATGCAAATGTATATGCTATCTCAATTATTTAGATCTACCTAAAATTCAACAAAATTGTTGAATTTAATTGAAATCTAATTCCATATTCAAAATTTGCCAAATTTGATGGGATTGCAAATAAGAATAGTTTACTAAGACTTCAAATTTTAAATCATGTTAATTGGATTTTTTTTTTTTGACTGACGTAACATTGTCATAATTAATTAAGATAAGTGTGACTGTAATCAATCACGAGTTCATTTAATTAAATTATAATTGTTTCAAAAAAAAAAAAAAGAGCTGGATTGTATCTTAATGATTATCAAACATTTTTTCAACGAAAAAAAAATATTAATAGGTCAAACAATATATATATATGCCTTAAAAATAGTATCCAGTAGAAAAATATATATATTTTTTTCTTTTCGTTATTTTTTGAACAACCTTAGTGCAATGATGATATCATATGAAACAAAAAATAATGCACGCACACGCAGATTGGTCGGCCAAAGATACCTCATCTTATTTTACATGCATGCATGCGTTGCATGCGTGACTCTAATAAATTTTTGCTTATTTTCTACACATGCGTTTTTATATTTGACCGGAATTGTATTTCGATAAAACCCTCGCAATATATAATAACAATTTTAAATTTTACTATATCTCTCATTTTTTTAGATAAAATTTATCTGAAAATATAATTTATTTCTGATAATTTAGTCCTATGTTTATTATTTTTTTAAATAAATAAAAATGATTTAATTCACACAATTGTTAATTTAAACTTTGTTTGAATTTTTTTAGAAGGAAAAGAGAATAAAAAATAAAAATTTTATCATTGATGGCTTTGGAGCAGTCTAAATGCGAAGTATATGGAGTCACAGACTTATTAGAATAGGATCTGAACTAAGACCTCGTCCACTTCTGCTTTTTTTTTAGGTGTTAATATTCCATTCTGCTTTTTTTTTAAGGTGTTAATATATTAATATATATATATATATATATATATATATATATATAATATTAACACCTAAAAAAAAAAGCTAACTCAAGAGGTGAGATTTTCCCTCACACTTATAACTTGATCACCAGTCCCTTCACAATGCGATGTGGGATAAACCAAACACACACAACACACATATATATATTATATATATATATTATATATATATATATATATATATAATATATATAATATTTTTTTTTTTCCGAACTAAGAATCTGAATTCATTGTTACAATAAAAATATTTATTTTTGGGCATGCCCTTCCACACAATACACAGTTTAACAGCAAATGTGATATTAAATATTTTATATATTATATATATATATATTTTTTTTTTTTTGCTTTTTAGTAATATAGTCCAATATAATGCATTTTAATAAAATTATAGTACGAATGAAATCAGTTGGGCGGTGAAGCCGGCAGAGATTGCTGCCTTGTCTATTTTCGATAATTAGTAATTTCAACATTTAAATATTTATTTTTAATTTGCTTTTTAGTAATATAGTCCAATATAATCATTTTATAAAATATAGTACGAATGAAAATCAGTGGGCGGTGAGCCGGCAGAGATTGCTGCCTTGTCTATTTCGATAATTAGTAATCAACATTTAAATATTTATTTTTACTGGATTAATAAAAAATATAAAATAATTCATATTTTTATATTTTGTTTGAATTGTAATTGTATGCTTAAGAATTACAACATTATAAAATATATCTTGTATCATAAAATTTTTCGAAAAAAAAAATTTAAAAGAAAAAAATTTATAAAATAATTCAAGAAAAAAAATTTCAAGCTAATAGAAGGTGAGAATCTAAACATAATTATCAAATTATTATATGTACATATATATGCAGAAGTGAGCAAAGTTTTATTAAAATTGAAACGATTTAATTTAATTTTTTGATTAATCGGTGAGGTTTGGGTCATTGATTTGGTTATGTAAACTAAGTTATTTTCACTCAAAACTAATCATAATTAATGAACCGACAAAAATTGAATCGAACAAAACTAGTCGATTAATAAAGTTTAATATAATAGTTCAAATAAAATTCGTACAGTTTCAGTTTTAGAGAAAAATAAAAGGAAAATTTAGGTTTAAATTTTTTTTCGATTCAATTTCAAATCGAACCGTCTGTTTTCACAATTTAATTATAATGTGACTTTAGAGGTAGATGTCAAATTTGGCTTTTCCAAATGGAGTTCAATGGTACTATGATGACTTTTTGAAAATTGACAAGGAAGCAGCCATTTTTTCAACATTAATTTCCTAGAAAATGATAAAGCTACTTGATGTTTTGTATTTGGAAACAGAGAATTTAAGCATCTAGGTTAAGTGTATATTCAGAATTGTCAAAGAATCATCACGAAAGAAATTAAATCTTTGAAAAAACGTGCTCTTTTGGGTGTCGGAAATTTTTGTGGATAAAAAACTAGAATGGGAATAGGTTGGTTTATATCATTTCAAATTATTATTATTATTATTATTATTATTTGGATTGAGCCGTTTCAGGTTGTGGTTCGAATTTCACATTTGGTCGACTTGTAAAATGATTTCGGATTAAATTTTCTTTTATTTTTTAAAGAAAAAAGAAAAGATGTTTCAAAAATAAAATTTTCATATGAGTAATGTTTCAAATTTAGTTGAAAGCATAAAATAAAAAAATAATAAAGTAAAGTAAAATAAGCATTTAATATTAAATTTACATACAGGAATATTAATTATTTATACTATTTAGCTAAACTAAATTAAATTTCATTACATAATTTGATTTAATTTATCTGTTAAACAGTTTAGTTTGTTTATGAAAAATAATTTATTGTTTGATATGGATTTTCTTTCTAAAATAAAATTCAATTTTTATTACAAAATATTTATTTTTTACCTGCTAAGGGTATAGATATTGAACATAAAGTTTTTTTTTTTTTTTCTGAAGTTTATATATTCAATAAGAGACAATAAATAATATTTTTATTTTTTATTTTTTATCATAAAAAATAAAATTAGTCCAATAATTTATATAGTTTTTAAATTTTTTATACGATAAAACATGTTATATTCTATGTCAAAGTTTCAAGTTACATCAGCATGTAGGGTTGTAAATGAGTCTAGCCACATGAGACATGGTTCAATAAGACTCGTTGACTTACGAACCAACTTTATCGAATTGAGTTCTAAGCTACAACTTGTGAGTTAACTCAATAAGTTAAGATTAATTAAATTTACAAAAAAAACAATATCGTTTCGATTTGATAGATTTTGAGTTTGGTTATTGATTAAGTGTGAGCAAAATTCGAGTTGGATCATTTTTATATGAGACAAACTTGAGCTCAAAATTCTAAAACTCAAAGTAAGCGAGCTTGAATATATCGTTATTTAACCGAGGTTCAACTCACTAAAATTCAACTCAATTTGATTCATTTTCAATTCTATTACCAAATTGAATGATTTGACTCTCTCTAAATTTTAACTGTTTAAACTGTGATATAAGATTTTGATAATTTGATTTATCATTCTAAATTAAAAGGAAAAACAAATTTGAAAAACAAAATATGAAGTTGGGTGTGTTTTACAAGTGGAGCTAAAAGTTCCAATGGATGAGCAAAGCAAAGAAATATCTGCAATGTTAGTTTGGTGATGACCCCAACATATGAAGATGCCAAATTCAGGTATGTATACAACATTTATATCCCATGCGTTAGTTACTTACCTGTTTCGCAATCCAATCTCTGCAATCATATGCTAATATTTATTTGAAAATTGTGCCAATACGAATTCAAATATTTTTACAAAATCTTTTAAGTTAAATATATAAAATTTACTATAATTTTATTTAATTACTACTCTAGCACCTAACTTGATAAATGCTATTAAATTGGAGTGGTTACTACGATACTCTGAGATGATTTGATTAGTTTTTTCACTTATACGAGAAGTTATTCGACCACGGTTAGGAACCGTCGTCTCCTAATTTTTTAAATATTTCTCTTTGTAAAACAATGATTTTTTTTTTCTCATTTGAATCTTTAATTTTTTAAAAAAAAAATTAATTAGTCTCTAATTTAAAGTCTGTGTTTAGTTGTGCAAACAAAATAAAAATAGGAACTGATTAAATAAACAAAAATACATGAGATTTAGGAAATTAAATAGTAATTTAAGCTTACAAGTTCAATAGTATAATAACGTAAAAAAAATTGAAAACAAAAAATTAAAATTTTAAAAGCGCTAAAATTGAATGGGTCACCCGTGACCCAATCCAAAGCGTGAATTGGAGGGAGAGTCAGACGGTCTATTACGGAGTTGGCACTCGCAAAATCTGACCGGTCAAATTGGTTAATCATCTGCATACCACGCGCCATACACTCGTGAACGGTGAACCTCACTCTCGGATCTAAATGTTAAGACCTTAAAAAGATCCTTTCCACAATTACGCACATTGATGAACGTCCTAAACTACTTTCCTGAAATGAACTACAATACAAACTAAAGTACAAATGTAATTACACATCAATGATTCAATTTTCTTTGTGTTTGAATAAGAAGCAACAATGGATGAAACAAAGCCATCACTAATAGTTTCCCTCCATCTAAAAATAAATCAATTCAATAAAAAAACTCTTTACAAGTACTAACAATTTTAGAAAAGAAAATCTTTATGTTAGCTTCGTAAATGAAACTACTTAGTCGATATTAGTGCATGATCATATCCTTAATAAAATAAAATGAAAGTATTAGCATCATCCGATCTTATAGGACGAATTAAACTAATAAATTGTTGTCTTTTAAATAAAATTCTGATGTTCGATCATGTACTTCAAAATTATCATCGTTATTAGATTCCATATTTCTTGTGAGCTCCTTAGCCTTAAGCGCTTGCCATTCCCAATCAGTGCGAGTTAAAAAGAACAACATAGTCACTACACATGAACCTTGGGCGGCTAAAAGACCGAGCCAGAGTCCTTCAAAATCGAACCCACCATAAAAACTTAACCAAATTGCAATAGGCATACCCACTAAATAGAAACAACCCAAATTAATATTAGCACCCAATTTAGGCCTCGCAGTTCCTCTTAAAACACCACAACCGGTTGTTTGTGGGCAATTTCCGAGCTCACAAAGACCTATTATAGGCAGTACCATTGTTGTCAACGCAATAATCTCTGCATCTTGTGTAAACATACTTGCCCAAATCTTTCTTACTACAACGGCAAAAAACAGAGCGGAGAATCCCAACGCGAAGCTTGACGAAAGACCAATAATGGCTGCAAGTTTTGCTCTTCGAGGATTGTTAGCACCCAATTCATTGCCAACTCTTGTAGATACACTAAAGCTTAAAGAAGATGGGAAAATGTATAAAAATGCCGTCGTTTGGATCAGAATTCCCATTGAAGCAACAGTAGCTCTTGGATTTAACAATAACCCACATAATAAAATCATAATCTCGTACCACCACCATTCAAGGCAAACCGAAACGCAACTTGGGATTGCTAAATTTAACAAAGATTTCCATCCATTTAAGCATTCTAAAGAAATCCCACTCCAAGTTTTCTTGTAAACGCCAGAAACCATAACGTAAGAGATCAAAGAGGCTACAAGATTGAAGTTAGTCCATATCCCACTTAATGCAACACCTTTAATTCCAAGATTTAATACAGAAACAAGAAAATAATTAATGGGTATATGTAGAAGAATAGAAAATGTTGCACAGTAAGTTAGAGGCAGAGTTATGGATTGAGTTCTAAGGTATATACGTAAAGGGTGTAGAAAAGATTGCAAGATTAGATCAGGAAGAGAATAAAGAATGTAAATTTGTGCTTCTGTGGCAATATCATTTTCTTGGCCACAGAAAAGAAGAATCTTTTTCATATTGAGCCATAAAAAGGCAATAGGGATAGAAATCAAGAAAAGTAGAAGAATTGTTCTTTGCATAGTTAGACCAAGGAGTTTATATCTTTTAGCACCAAAAGCTTGACCACAAATGGGTTCCATTCCAATGGCGAGACCAGAGAGAATAGAATAACCTGTTATGTTAGCGAAACCGATGGCAAGTGAACCACCGGCTAAAGAAAGCTCGCCAAGGCGACCGAGAAATAGCATAGAGATCATAGAGCGAGAATAGAGCAAAAGACCAGTTAGTATCATTGGAAGAGCAATGTCAGCTATGCATTTAGCTTCTTTAATTGCTAAAGAAACATGGCAAGTTGTCTTTTCTTGATTTTGGGTTTGTGGTTCAAATTCAAGATTCTTCGGGACCAGAGGAGCTAACATGTCAGATTGTTGTACTTTGGTGGATGGGTCTAAATCGATTTTGCAAGAATCAGAAGGTGAAGATTGTTGGCACATAGTTATCAAATTCTTGGGTAATAGAGAGAGAAGAGAGAGAGTTCTGGGTTTTGAAAGAAAGAATGGAGTTAGTGAGGTTTAAATGGAGAGGTTTAAGGAGTTATAAATGGTAGGGAGATACATGGAACTGTTTATCTTGGATAGCCTCCGAGGAAATTTAAAATAATAATAATAATAATAATGAGGATGTTTTTGAGTTTTAAAGTTCTAACCGAACTTTTTTCCTTACCAAAAAAAAAAAAAAGGGGAAGAAAAAAGAACTTTTCAAGCGTCCATTTATGACCGACCTGAATGTCACAATTGGGGCCTGAAAGGAAGTCATCTAAAAATAAATATTTCAGAAAAGAATTAAGGCCAAAAAATGAAACTATTTAAGTTACAGGTGTCAAAAAATTTATGTTAAGCACTAACTATTCAATTTATTAGTATTTGTTACGAGTGGTTAATTAATTTTAAGATTTTTTTTAATCTTATTTAATGTGTTTTGTTAGTATTTAAATGCCAAAGAACGTAAGTGGGTTCTTGTCAACGGAGACAAAAACATATATGTGGACGGTTTTGAGAGTGGACCCATTCTGAATTAGAGCTTGACTTGCAAATTGTTCAACAAGCAATTAAACCTTTACCATTCAAGATCGTGTTGGTATTTCTGTGTTCTCCTTTGCCGTGTCCACGAATAGTTTCTACCAACTACGATACTCTGTAATTTGTCTCGTTTCATCCCTTGTTATAGATATATATATGGTGGAAATGGGTAGAAAAAAAATATTAAGTTTGGTAAAAATATTCATACTAAATTAATAATAAATTTATTATTATTAGTGATATAAAGTATGGAAGGTTAGGATTTCATAATTTGAAATTGTCACTGTCGGAAAGATTTTCTTAAAATAGTATAGTCAGTCTGAGTATAGAAATGTATATGCTAACAAAAAAAAGAAAAAGAAAAATTCAATCTTGTGCAAAGATATACAAACATGCTTAATTAGTACTTATTATACTAAGTTAAACTCAGATAATAAATAATATATACATGTCAAGGGTACAACAACTTTAATTATATACTACTAATTCTATCTATTAGCACAATCTGATATATTTTTGCGTTGTTAGATATCAGTCATTTTAATTAAACAATTAAATTTATCGAATATTTCTAATTCTACTACATAAATAGTTATCAGCTAAAAGCTAATAGTTAATTGATACACAATAATTAATAAGTTAGTAAAATAAGTAATATTTTCACAACAGAACCTTTACTGGATAAACTAAATTATGAGAAGGTGGTGCAACAATATCAATTTTTCTTTTATTAAAACAAATAAAAAAATAAACATAAAAACATATATGCTCCCAATTTAAAATGCTCTCTTCCCAAAAAAAAAAAAAAAAAAAAAAAAAAAATTTGTGCAACAATAATCAATTTTCTTTATTAAAACAAATAAAAAAATAAACATAAAAAACATAATATGCTCCCAATTTAAAATGCTCTCTTCCCAAAAAAAAAAAAAAAAAAAAAAACAATTGAAAATGCAAAAAAAAAAAAAAAAAAAAAAAAACAATTTGAAAAATGCTCTCAACATGGAGTATAGGTTTCGGCCCAAAAAGTATTTAAAATGTTATCAAGGACAAAAAAAATAATTAAATAAATTACAAATAATTTTACAATATGTTGTTTATTGATTTATTTAATATTTTATTTTTTGTCACGGGTGTAGGTCGGCTAAGTACCACCACATGAAATTATTTACAATAAATGCTTTGAATTAACTTTTTTTTATTTATTTATTTTTGAAAGGGTTTATTTATTATCTCCTCTAAAATCTAAATGGTCCCCGCACCATAGACATATTTTTATATATATCCATTGGACGGTGGCAAGCTAGCTATTATAGCTAGGGCGTGGCAACGGCTGATCTTTCTTTGTTTTGTTGTCTTCTTCATCGTCTTGGTCGTAACCCTATCGGTACAAAAGATCAAGAAACTAAAGCAAATACACAACAAGTTCAGAGAATTTCTAAATTAAAATTAAAATAGCTTCAACTTGCATTATCATTCCAAACGATTAACAGTAAGGATACAATGCATTTATTACTAGTTTCTGAATTAATGTCGTATGGGTTATCTCTAGCTTTGTTTAACTTTCCTCTAATAATTATTATTATTTTTCTTTTGGAGTTGTTAATTTTCTTATTCAAGGATCATGCATTATGGTTTACTAGTTGTAACAACACAAAAACGACACGTTTTTTGCAATTTCAAATCTTAAATTCTTATAAAAAGAAAATCATTTCAAATTCTTAAGTCCAACTCTCTGTTTCTGATATGACATTTTTGTTTTGATATACCGAAAGGTTTTGGAAAAAAAAAAAAAAAGGACGTCCCAAAATTTAAATTTGTGACTTCATTGCTAAGGTTGTAGTTCCTGTTAATGTTTTCTTCTGTAAGTTAATTCGCAGTAAGTTCCAGAAATAGATTATCTGACTATATTGTTATCGTTAATTTCTTTGCTTCATAGTGTGCTTAACAATAATTAAATTAGAATCCAAATTAAGCTTTGAACTCCATTTTAATCTAGTCACATCGAACAATTGGCCAAATATATATATATATTGATCACTACCCATGACATGGATAGCTGTTCTACACCTGCCGACATAAAAAAAAAAAACACATGTTTTAATAACAATTGGCCAAATGATTAATTAGGTCACTATCGGGGAAAAATAAATATTTCGATTTTTAATTAATTTAATGCATAAAACACTCGATACATAAGTAAGTCTTATCCATAAAAAAGGATGTGATTTTATAGCGGTGGGAACACAAAATCAGTTAAAAGGTGTTAACGTGTAGGAGAAAGTTTCCATTGAAACCACTAGAATGTTAACAAGCATTTCTTGATACTTAAATCATTAGACATTGACATTTCTCCCCCCCTTTTGAAGCATAATACCAAAGCACACGAATCGGAATATTCCACCGCATTAGGAAGTCTACAGTGTCTTGAGATGTTGCCTTGGCCATCAGCAAAATTAAATTTCAAGAGCCGACTAAAATAAAATATTCTAGCGTTGAAAATTTTAATTTTCTCGGTATTCCGATTTTATTATTGAACCATCTAATTTAATGCGAGTCTTTGTCATGGTTAAAACTCCTCGTTCGTAACTGTGTTTAATAGGGATCTAATTCAAGAGTTCTTCCTACATGTCCAGCTGTTGCTAATTGAGCCATAACCTGTAAGTGGTATTTTAATTTTAGTATTTTCTCATCGTGAGCTAGTATTTTTGTTTTTTTTTTTTTTTTTTTTTTGGCTAGTATTTTGCTCTTCTCTCTCTCTCTTTTTTTTTTTTTTTTTTTTTTTTTGTTTGCCTTAATGACATTTTCTTACTAAGGTCATCAAAATAAAAAATAAGGGGAAATTGCACTAATTAATTTGATAAAGGAAATATCTATGCAATTCTTGCGTAGAAAGACATGCAAAACTCTATGAACAAAAAATCAAAACTAGAGGGCCGAAAGAATGAAGATAGAAAACCCTAAACTGCATTTTTCTTGGGCATTTCAAGGCCATCAGTTTCGTCAAAGTATTTTCTCCAATGAGGATGATTCTTCCACACAATAACCATTTCTTCAATCGGGACGCCTTTAGTCTCCGGTAGGCGATAGTAGATGAAGAAGGTCATTATAACAATGAAGCAAGCAAACATTATGAACATGAAGAACTTCATGTGGCAAAGAATTGCTGTAAAAACTTGTGCAATGCAGAAAGTGAAGATCATGTTAACTGAGACTGTGATACTTTGAGCAGCAGATCGAACTTCCAATGGGAAGATTTCGCTTGGCACCAACCATGATAAAGGTCCCCATGACCATGCGAACCCAGCAACAAAAACACATATCAATGTCACCACAATAATTGCATACCACATTGGCAATTCTCCTGGATTTCCATTTAATCCAAATTTAAGCCCAATTGCAATTGCCACCAGAATCTGTCCATTAAAACAAAATAATAATGTAAGTAATATAAATATTTTTAGTAACTTTTGAGTACTATTGTAAGAGGTCAGGGAGAACAGAATTTGAATGCACCTGGCAAATGAGCAATTGACCGCTTCCTTGAATGTAAAGTTTTCTCCTCCCATACTTATCAACTGCGTAAATTGAAACGAAGGTTGCTAGAGTATTAACAATACCGGTGATTAGGGCAGACATGAGAGAAGCATCAGATTTAAAGCCAATAGTTTTGAATAAAACAGGAGCGTAGAACACAATAACATTCATGCCGGTGAGTTGTTGGAACATGGGAATGCAAAAAGCCATTGTGAGCTGAGGCCTATATTTTCTCTTGAAAATGTTACTCCAAGGATGTTTAACCAACTTGGAAGCTTCACTAGCTGCAAGTAAATCATTAAACTCTTCATCAACATTGGTTACGCCACGAAGTTCAATGAGTTTTTCTCTTGCTTTGTCATGATGGTTTCTTTCAATCAAAGAATTAGGTGTCTCAGGAAGAACACAGGAACCCAACATTATTATAACTGCTGGAACAATAGCTCCTCCTAAACTCAATCTCCATCCCCAATCCCCAACTTTAGCAAATAAATAATTCAAAAGATTAGCCACCAGAATTCCAATTGTTATTGACAATTGAAACATCATGTTCAAAGATCCTCTGTACTTGTAGGGAGCAACTTCTGATAGATAAATTGGAACAGACTGCAAAAAAATCAATGTCGTTTTAGAAACTGTAAGATTGCCAATTCAAACCCCAATTAAACAAAACGAAAAATAACAAACCTGATTGGCAAAACCAATACCGAAGCCAAGTAACAATCGACCTACAATAAGCATCCAGACCTTGATAGCAAAGCCATTAAAGACTGCACCCACTGCGAAAAGTAGTCCACCAAAAAACATACTAACCCTTCTTCCCAAAAGTCGAGTTATAGTACCCGCACAAACTGATGAGAAAAGGGCAGCCAGATATAAAGAAGAGGTAAACAATGTTAGTATTTGGTTATCATATTTGCAGTATTGATCATCTGATGGTTTGATCGACGACTCTTTCTTGTAAACTGCTGGGAAAAACTTCTTCAAAAACGCATCCATGGAAATGACACCACCTGCACGCATGCATTTTTGAGTTAGACTTTAAAAGATACGAAATGGTTTATATATATAAGTTTAAAAAATACTTTACCTGATATACCAAGATCATATCCAAAGATTAGACCTCCAGTAGCGGCAATAATACATGTTAGGAAGACCTTGCATGTAAGGTTTCCAGGATAATCTTTTCCGGCAGATGAAGGAGTAATGACACCTCCTGGCATTTTTGGATTTGCTTGGATTACTGATAATCGAAAATAGAACTGAGAGAGAATACACAGAAAGTGAAAATGGTATAGATATTTATACCAGAAGGACTGATACAATATCTATGGTTACCTAAAATCAAATAACTCTATCACTTAAATATCTCAACTACACTTGAAAGATATCAGTTTTTTTTTTTTTTTTTTTTTTTTTTTTTGGTTACTAAATCAAAATAAACTCTATCACTTAATATCTCAACTACCACTTGAAAATATCAGTTTTTTTTTTTTTTTTTTTTTTTTTTTTTTGAAACATAATTAATTAATTAAAATCTCTCTTTTGGGTTCTTGTTAATAAGTATTTTTTTTTTTTTTTTTTTTTTTTTTTGAACATAATAAATTTAATTAAAATTTCTTTTTGGGTTCTGTTAATAAGTAACATGTATTTATGCTGCAAAGTCGCTTTTTATACATTTGATTTTTAAAAATTAAATAGTATTTGTTGTATTTGAGATAATTGCAAATCAATAAATCAAATTAACGAAATCCAATTTTTGTTTTCTATATTATTCAATAATTCTCTTTAACAAAGCCCAAATTATTAAACTAATTCATTATAGAACCTAAATTGTAAATTAATATGAATAATGTATGTTTTCAAGATGGTTTTACTCTAATGGACCCATGTTGACCCATTGTATGCTTGTCAAGTGCCACTTGAGGGGAGTGTAAAAATTTGGGGTTAATCACACAGTGGACAAATATAAGATGAGTGAATGATACATAATGAGGAACCAAGATGACTTGCGTTGTGTCCTCACGCCCAGGCGTGCTGGCAGTTATTATCTCCTAACCTCAATCGTTCTTTCTTGAATATATAATTTTTTATCTTTCATGTTATTAGCTCGTTGGAGGAGGAAAGGGTTCAACACCTTTTTCATCTTCTTTATAGCATCTGGTCAAGTCGCAACCTGTATTATTTTAGCATAAGTATTTTAGGCCTTCACAGGTTGTTGGTTACGCATTGCATGGATTAAATGAATGGTTGGCATCTCAGAAATCAAATCTGGTAGTAGAAGTGCAGGCGAGACAAGGTGACAAAATCATTCTATGGACTAAATCAGCTCCGGGAAGACTAAAATGTAATGTTGATGCTTCCAGGTTCCAGGACATCAAGCACATGCGGTACGGAGCTATCCTTCGGGATGAAAATGGAGTTTTCATAGCAGTTATATGAGGTTTCTTTCAGGGGTACAGTAAGCTAGCTGTTAGAGGCTATGGCAATCGGAGAGGCTCTTTCTTGGTTTCTCAAGGACGGCTATGCTGGTGTTGAGGTAGAAACAGACTCACAACTTGTTTGGCACCAAACTCGATCCTCTGATGAAGGCTTTTCTGAGTTTGAATTAGTTATTAAATACTAGTTATTAAATACTGTAAGTCGTTACTTTCACGGTATAATGATTTTATGATTTTTTGGGTTAGACGCGATGCTAATATGGTTACTTATTTGTTTGCAAGAGCAGCTATTATAATGTCTGGTAATAAGACCTGGAGGGTTCCTCTAAATTTTTATTACATAATTTATTATCTGATGTTTGCAACCAGATTTTTCATCTAGCATAATAGAGCCTAGGTCGGGTGTAAAAGGAGAATCTGATGGGAGTTTAGATAGCTTTATTATACTAAGGTTTTCTTGGTATTTTTATTAATAATATTTTGATTTCAAAAAAAAAAAAAAAAAAAAAAATATTTGATTTCAAAAAAAAAAAAAAAAAAAAAAAAAGAAACCTTGCGTAAATAAAGACAAGTCTAAACTCATTTTTTATCTAATTTTTTATTTTGTTAGGAGGTTTCCCTATCAGATTATAACATTAGGAAATCAATTTTTAAGGGATATGGAAAGGAAGTTTAAGAGATATGACATATCATTGCTCAAACAGAGTTTTTATATCGGTTTATCCTCATTGAAATTTTCAATTTTAATTTCTAAAGAAAAAGCTCAAAAACATAAAAAAAAAAAAAAAAAAAAAAGACTTGCGTTAAATAAAGACAAGTCTAACTCATTTTTTATCTAATTTTTATTTGTTAGGAGGTTCCCTATACAGATATAACATAGGAAATCAATTTTAAGGGATATGGAAAGGAAGTTTAAGGGATATGAATACATGTCAAACAAGTTTTTATATACGGTTTATCCTCATTGAAATTTTCAATTTTAATTTCTAAAAGAAAAAGCTCAAAAATCATATTTTCAATCACATATGATATATCTAAAAGGACAAAAAATCTAATATAAAATAAACATATTGCTAATCACATTTAACATATCTGAAAATATCTAAAACATATTTTCAGTTCCATAAAAGATCTACATATTCTTAAATAAATATATTACTTTGCTTACTAATAAATCTAATACCCTAAAAATTATAAACTAATTCAACTTTGCCTCTGGTAGGTCCATCTTCATCGTCATCAAAATATTTTCTCCAACGAGGATGATTCTTCCACACAGACACCATTTCCTCAATAGGCACTCCTTTGGTCTCAGGTAAATAGAAGTAAATGAAGGTGCTCATTATAAGCACACATATGGCGAAGAAAATGAACAATCCAAACTTCATATGGCAAAGCATTAAAGTGAAGATTTGTGCAATTATGAAGGTGAAGATCATGTTCACTGATACGTTTATACTTTGAGCTGCAGATCGGACCTCCAATGGGAAAATTTCACTGGGCACCAGCCACCCAAGCGGACCCCAAGACCATGCAAACCCAGCTACATATATGCATATCACTAGCACCACTATAACTGCGTACCACATTGGCAAGTCTCCTGGATTTCCGTTAACTCCAAACTTGGCTGCTATGGCCGCCGTTACAATAACCTGCAAAAATCATCCATTATTAGCGTGAAATGTAATACAGAGATAGTATATGGTGTCTTGGATTTAGAACAGGAACAAAATTTTACCTGGCAAATGAACATTTGAGCTCCACCCTCAAGGAAAAGAGTTCTTCTCCCATACCGATCTACTGTGAAAATTGAAACCAAGGTAGCTAGAGCATTGACAATACCAGTGATTAAAGCAGACATAAGTGAAGCTGTGCTTTTAAAACCAATGGTTCTAAACAACACAGGAGCATAAAAAACAATAACATTCATGCCAGTGAGTTGTTGAAACATAGGAATGCAAATAGCCATAACAAGCTGAGGTCTGTACTTTCGCCTAAGTATGGCCTTCCATGGGCGATTAACAGCCTTGGATTCCTCACTAGCTGCTATTAAATCGTTAAATTCTTCATCAACATTGGAAATTCCACGCAGTTTGATTAGTTTTTGCTTAGCTTTATCCAAGTAACCACGCTCAATCAAGGAATTTGGAGTCTCAGGTAGGATCAATGATCCTATCATAATTATTACTGCCGGAACTATTGCAAGCCCTAAACTCAAACGCCAGCCCCAACCTCCATGAATCTTTGAAAAGAAATAGTTTAAAAGATTGGCAATGAGAATTCCAATTGTTATTGAAAATTGGAACATCATGTTTAGAGCACCTCTGTACTTGGATGGTGCAACTTCTGATAGATAAATCGGCACAGACTGCAAACAATAAATCAAGAAAATCAGAACTGTACAAGGTCGAGATTCAATTCCTAATTAGAGCTAAATTTAAAAAAAAAAAAAAAGCATATTTGTACCTGATTGGCACAGCCAATGCCGGCACCAAGTAACAACCGACCAACAATAAGCATCCAGACCTTACTAGCGAAGCCATTAAATAGTGCCCCAACCGCAAAAAGCAGTCCACCCAAAAACATACTAACCCTTCTTCCCAAAATTCGAGTTATAACCGAAGCACCAATCGATGAAACAAGAGCAGCTATATATAAGGACGATGTAAACAAAGTCAATATCTGGCTATTAAACTTGCAGTACTGGTTATCCGATTGCGTAATCGATGTCTCCTTCTCATATACAGAAGGAAAAAACTTCTCCAAGAATGAATCCATCGACGTAACTCCACCTATACACCAAATTCAATTAAAAGAACAATGAAACCCATGTTAGAACAATTAGTCCGATTGATTCTTGCATTGAAAAAAAAAAAAAAGAATTAGTCGCATGATTCAAATGCTGGCAGTCTTTTCTTTTATGAAATTTGGGTGTACCTAAGTAACCTAACAATAATGTACGTATATAATGATTCTTTTTTATTGAAAACAAAAATTATAAACCATCAGTGTCTACTAGTTTCGCGTGCATACAAAAGAGATGATACTTATTTGTACCTGAAATTCCGAGATCATAACCGAAGATTAAGCCTCCAGTGGCTGCAATGATGCATGTGGTGATTACAGTTGAGGTGAGTTTACCAGGGTAGACCTTACCGGCCTTTCCAGCCGGAGCAATAACACCTCCGCCGGCCATTATTAGTTTTGCGTCAGAGAGAGATAAAACGATCGAGTGGATAACAAGTAATTACAGAATCACACTAGTACTAGTAGGTGTATATATAGAGAGAGGGAGGAAACGGAGTGTACCTGTAGTATTGTATTTTGGATATAGATATAGATATGGATATAGATTAATTAATTAATCTTATTTAAAATAAAACACTTCATCCATCAGATAATTAAACACCTCAACAATTCCATTATACTAATTAATGAAATAGACTTCTACACTAATTAGGACATCCCACTAATCCCCATAATAATAATTTTAAAAAAATGATATCTGAATATATAAAAAGATAATTATCCTGAAAAAGCTTGAGCAAAAGTAGATTAGTATAAGAATTATTATTATTATTATTATTATTATTATATTAAGTTTTCCCATTACTGATAATTAATTTATTGTATTTAGAGTTCATGCTTCTTTTGCATTCATGTAAATTATCAAAGAAATGTTCTTACCAAAAAATAAATTATCAAGAAATAATAAAATTTGGGGCTGAAATCTAGGAATTTGGTTTTGCGTGTCCGGACAATATGATATTGCCAGCACTTTTTTACGGCTCGAAATTTAATAATTGTAGTTATTGAGTTTGAAACCGATACTGACACTGTAACAATGAATTGTGGTTCGCTCGAGGTCAAGTCCGAACCCAACCGGTGTTGGCTCCCAACGACGTCGTCTTTATACAACTCAATTGCCTGCTGTTATATAATCCACCAACGACACTTCGTTCAGGTCCAAACAGAATTTGTTGTGGGCCGTCAAAATATAGAACGAACTTGGGCTTCTAATGTGTTTTTTAGCCTCGTTTGCAATGGGCTTCGCCTATATTTCTATTTTAATTATAACTATAACTAAAATTCCAACAGCTAGCACGAGTAGTTTAATTAAATGGGTGTTTTTTTTTTAAAATTTTGAAAATAATTAAATGAGTGTTTAATAATAGCTAATAGTCGCCAATAAATCTTAATCAGCTGTTGAATCTATTAACTACATTAAATTTTTTTTTTTTCATTAGCTAATAGATAATTTGTGATTTATATTATAGACTACCTTGACCTTATGAAAATAATTGGGGGGGGGGGGGGGGTAATAAGTTGGAGTAAAGGGATCTTTTTTTTTTTTTATTTTGCTACGCTGTCAGCCTGGGATGGCAGCGATCCTAAGAGGGCGGGTAAAGCAAAGCTCCTAGCTAGCTTTTAGGATAGCAGACTAGCTATAGATAGTGGAATGCGGAGCACAAGAATGAATCAGATCATATATTAAAAGGGGAAACTAATCATCAAATGCGCTTTTTGATGGAATGACCTAGAATTGAAAGAACTCCAGGATTAAGCATGCTCGCTTAACGGAAATTATAGGATGGGTGACCTCCTGCGAAGTTTCTCATTTCACCTGCACAACAAAAACCGTGCGAGTCTTGCCAATCTAGTAGGCTGGAATTAGCTTGTGTTAGATTATTTTAATAATCTGTATGTGGCCCATGTGATTAAAGGGCTGGTTCTAATTAAGGTGGCCCAAGATGATGGTTATTGGGCTTACTGAATGATGAAATCGATTCATAAATTTCATCAAATTCATGAATTCATATTCCACATTTCTAGCTAAATAAACACAAAAGGCACAAAAGAGAATTGAGTTTGTTGGATAAAAAGATTGTACAAAGAGAATTGATTTCATTGGATAAAAAGTTATTAGATACAGAAATAAAAAGAGAACATGTAACATAAAAAAATAAAAATAAATAAAAAATAAATAAATAAAAATAAGGTTTATCCTTGTTGGCTAAATATTGACCATAGGAATATGTAAATTAGCCGTCACCAAACAAAAATAAGGTTTGACCAGAAAAACAATTGTATCTGAACAAACATATCTTCACTTTTGCTTCTTGTTCCTTATGCACTTTTTATTTCAGAAAATGAAAATAGCAACAAATGTGACCCAACATAATCTACGACATGTATTGTGATTTATAACACTCTAATCTTTGTCCACGACCAATCCCATAATTAAGTTAATCAATATAAGATGCTATTAATAATGTTAGGTAAATGGATAATCAGGTGAGGATGATCGTATCTATAAAATCTGCTCACCAGTCATATCAGAATGATCTGCTGATAAATAATGCAGTAGTGTGATTAATTTGTTGCTAATCACTACTTGATTTCTATGCAGTAGTTTTTCACCGCATGTTAATTATAGGGTTAACAAAACTTTATTTAATTGGGAAAGGGTTTGAATGTGAAACCATAAGACTTTCGCAATAGGCTTGTGGCTTAGTTTGACTATCCCTATTCTTAATATTAGGAAATTCATAGGATTTAAGTAAAAAAAAGGAGAAAATTGTAATGATAGAAAATACCATCTTATAGCTTAATCCAAACATTTTTTTTATTCAATTAATCCATATATTAATTAAGTATATTTATGAATAACGCGTAAAGCAAACCCACATTTAAAAAAATATATTCAGCAGCTTGATTAATTTTTTATATGCATTAAAGCGAACGCGATATGTTTATAAAAAGAAATTCAAATCATTAAACTTTTATAACAATGTTTTTAAAAATTTCTACTAACAAAAGTTGATAGTTTTTGTAAAAACAGAACCATATACGAGTATGAGAGAACTATCTCTATACTACACCAGGTAAGTGCAAGCTAGCAAGATTGCTACCCTAATACGTGTGCGTGCACTAGTAGTAGCAACACCACACCAACTATCATCTTCTACCCAAAATCTTGAAAAAAGAAACCCTAATAGCCTCTTTACAAACCACAAGTTGTATTGCATACAGACAAAGTATTTGATTTGAGTGGACTTCCCCGCGAAATCCCCACGCATTCAACTTTTTTCAGACAAAATCACGCTTGTATATATTTGCCTTGTGTGTGCTTTACCTAATATCGTTCTTTCTAGTCTTTTTCCTTCCACTAGAATTAAACATAATTAACCCTATTTTATATATGGCTGACCCTAATATCCACAACCACACTGGTCTGCCTCAAATAAACCAAACTCACCCACCTTTTGACCCTACTTCTCCTCCTAAACCTAACCCACTTGACCCATTTGTTTCCTGGTCTAACTCTACAAACCCAGGTCAAAACCCACCTAAGTCGTCTATGGCTACCACTTCTGCTACTACTAAACGACACCCGATATATCGGGGAATTCGTAGCCGGAGCGGAAAATGGGTGTCTGAAATCCGGGAGCCACGCAAAACCACCCGTATTTGGCTTGGTACCTACCAAACACCAGAAATGGCTGCCGCGGCCTATGATGTGGCTGCGCTAGCCCTAAAAGGTGGAGATGCAGTACTGAATTTCCCTAATTCTGTTGGGTCTTATCCTGTCCCCGCTTCATCGTCGCCGACTGATATACGTAATGCAGCTGCGGCTGCTGCGGCTTTTAAAAATGCGGAAATGAACCAACGTCCGTTAATTTTGCAGGCAAGAAGTGATCATGAACTAAGTGCTAATTTTACTGCGAGTGATCAAGAATTTGTTGATGAAGAGGCACTTTTCGATATGCCCAATTTGCTGGTGGATATGGCAGAAGGAATGCTGCTTTCGCCGCCCAGAATAACCTCCTCCGATGACTCCCTGGGCACGTCCGACGGAGAAAGTCTCTGGAGTTATTTCTAATAATTAATTTAAATTAACATGAATGATAATATGAAGTCAACCTTAAAGAATGATACAAGAGGACATATATGTGGCTGCATTATCTATTGACCTGGTTTTTTTGTGCACCATTTGTCTCTCTTTTCTTTCTTTTAAGTATGAAAATTAAGATTGAATCACTGAACAGTAATTCCCAAAACGTAAATGTTTTCGAAATTGAGAATAGTGATGGTGGGAGACTTTAAGGTTTGTGATTTCTTTATTATTATGGGAATCTGTGACTGTGCATGTTGCTGTAGTATACAATTTTTGGCTTGTTTAATATTAATTTTTTATTTTTTGAGATAATGCGATAATGGTTCTCTTGTTCCTCCTTTCCCTCTCTCTCTCTATCTCCTTTTTTTTTTTTTTTTTTTTTGTTGCTGTAGTATACAATTTTTGGCTTGTTTAATAAATTAATTTTTTATTTTTTGAGATAATGCGATAATGGTTCTCTTGTTCCTCCTTTTTCCCTCTTCTCTCTCTATCTCCTTTTTTTTTTTTTTTTTTTTAATCTAATTTTTTTTTTTTTTTTTTTTTAATCTATTTTCGCTTATTTTTGTTAGGTCTATTATTATTTTAAAATAATTAATTGGATAATCCTTTAAATTAGTTAACCTATTCATTAGTGCAGAGCGTCACCATTGAAGCTTGAAGAACAAGAATTTTACCGTTTAGTTAATTAATAAATACTCCCTCAATATAAATTTAATTAAAATACTCCATAATTTAATGCATAAATAGTGGAACCATAATTCAAATCTTAATAATTTTAATTTTCTTCGCTAATTTTTGATCTTGCAGAAAAGAAAATTCACAAAAGCACTACAATCTGATATTTCAAATTTAATCATGTGGCAAAAAACCTTGACTTTGAGGATTATAGTCTAACTTGGTGTACAAAAAAGAAGAAACAAATAATAAAATCTGGACCCTTTGAAACATCTTCCAGTTCAACTCGACTCAAATTAAGCAAAAGTTGATAAGGAAAAGTAGTATTTCTTTAATGATGTCTGTCACAAGGCAATGCATAAATTTTGCATCCTTTAATTTAGAGTTTCGAGACTTTCAGTCAAAAATGTGCGGGGTTGATCGGGCTGAAGGGAGTACTAGTGTCTAGTGTCAACATCTGTGTGATGAAAGAAAGATTGAAACAAAGTAATGTCCCTTTGACACAAAAGAAATTATGACTGTTAACTTAAAAAGATGTAATGCCATTAAATTAAAGATATGTGTCTATTTGATTGAATACTTACACTGTGATAATTCATTGAATCAAGAATTTTTATGACTGATCAAGAAATAAATTTAATTGATGGGATCAATAATTAGATAAGTAAAATTGAATAATATTTTTAAATAAATTTTATTTAAAAGGTTCAAAAATATGTATGACATTTTATCTTGAATTTAAAGACACGTATACTAATTTTGAAAAAAGAAATTGATACAGTAATATAATAAAGTAGTAATAAGAATGATTTTCAATTAGTTATATTTGTTAATTACAAGGAACTAATTCAAGAAAAAGTGGGATTAAAAGCAACCCAAAAATTTAAATATCAAGAAGGTTTGAGGGGGTGTCTCATGATGAAGGCATACAAGACATTTTCTCCTATTGAAGGGGACAAACATCACTGGTCATATAGTACTAGTATATTTAAAATTGAAGTATTGATATTCAATCATTGAGTTGTTAACTATAACAAATTTAATCATATAGTACTAGTATATTTAAAATTACAACCATACTCATGTCACATTCAATCTCGATCATTTGGCTTATTTTGATTTTGAAAGATCCTGTTTTTGAATTATTGAAATATGGTGACACTATTTATCTAACTAATTGAAATGTTTATCCTAATCAGGTAAATGTTACTTGTTAATAAGTAATCACTAATTGGAACAATGTGTAAGCATTTCATGCAATATTCATTTCAATCAATAATAGTAAATTTACATGATAATATACTCATATCTTAACTCTAAGTGTAAATATGGATTCTCTTTTTCTTTATAAAAATAAAAAAGATTTACGACATAACCGAATGGAGAGTTATTTTTAGTTTATTATTTTGATTTTATGTATTTATTAGTCATTATATTTAAAAGTGTATTATAATAAATCAAATACATCAATAATAATTATATTATTTTAAAATATAATGAATAACAATCTCTTTTTCTTTTTTCTTTTTTCTTTTTTTTTTTTTTTTTTCTTTTTTTTCTTTTTTCTTTTTTTTTTTTTTTTGGCAAAAACAATTTTTTTTTTTTTTTTTGGCAAAAAACAATCTCAATTTTAGTTTCTAATAAGACCCAACTTATATTATCTCCATGCTTAAAAATGAGAGGGTCAAAGGTTAGAAGTCGGCCATGAAATCCAAAGGATGCATTGTCTTCAAATATTGAAAAGAGTGCCTTTTTATTGATAATGAAATCGAAGAAAAAAGAGAAAAAGAAACGATCTGTGTGGGGTTTTGTCTGTGTCGAATAGAAATATAAAAAAAAGAAGCCCATGTTCTCCTCCTTATGAGCAAAAAGTTTGACTGTGCAGCTATCCGTCATCCATGGCCGACATTAATCCTTTCCTTCCTTCACCTTTCAGGGTTGGTGGTGCGTCTTTCTCTCTGACACACAAACACCCATAAATGTGCAATTAGAGGACTTTATCTTTTAACAAGCCAATCCGATGTAAACAGAAATTAATCAAAATTTATAAACAGTTAAACCGATGCGGGCTTAATAAATTAATTCTTAAAAACAGTATATGATCAATGTTCATAGATGACAGTACGTATGCATGTATATTAAGCATATTGAAAGTTTCATACAGCTTTAATTGATTAATATACTATAATTTTAAATTATATAAGTCGGGACTGACTCTGGAAACTGATCGAAACCCCTTTCTTTTTGGTTTCCCTCCAGAAAAATTTGGAAGTTAAACAAAAACTGCAATTGCAGTTGCACAGTGTAAAGCTGTTACAGTTAGATGTTCTTTTACTGCAAAAAACAAAGATCTTTTCTTTTTACATCTTTAATTATAGATTAGTAAATATATGTAGTCAAAAGATGGCTGGTGAAGATCGAGCTAGTTATTATATAGGAAAAACTAAAAAGGATTACTTTACATTCACATTCTGGTTTTAATTCCAATCTTGCCATTTCAGGCAATTTGGAAACCCAAAAATTTAAAAAAGTTATCGGAAATTCTTTAACTTCGATCTCTTAAAAAATTATATATAATGGTCTTCTTCCAATAAAAATCATTGAACTTTGAAGGGGACAAGCATCCAATGTGGTTGACGCAGAAAATCTATCTCTTCTTTTATTATTCTTTCATCCTCTGTTGTTAATTTCAAGAAAGAAAAGTTTTCTTTCTTTCTCTTCTTCTTGTTCTTGTTCTTGCTGTTTGAGTTTTTGCCCCCCCCCCCCCCTTTTGAGTTTTTGCCCCCCCCCCCCCCAACCCCTTTACAAAAACAATAGGGTTTCTTTCTTTCTGGTCCCCCCCCCCCCCAACCCTTACAAAAACAATAGGGTTTCTTCTTTCTGGTAAACTGGTCCACCAAATTAAGATGTGTCTCCCCATTAATACCAATCATTATGTTCTTTACTAATCCTACTACTTCTTTTGGTTCGTTAGTTCTTCATTTGATGATCTTTTATTTGCATATGATGACTGATTCGAGTTATTTATATATAAATTAAACTTAATCAATTGGTTTGATTTCTCTCAATCTTTGTCTTTTACTGTAATAATTAATTATACATCATCATTTCATTGGAGTTATAAATTAATTGAACTTTTAATTAATTTAATAATTTCACTTTCTTGAATCCCCAAGACAAGACTAGACCAACAAGAAAGGCATGAAATGTGAATTTTTGTTTACATCATTGTGAATTTAATTAACTGCCCCTAATTTGAAATATGTCATAAATTTTCTTTTTTATATTTATTTTATTTCGTTATCAACTGTATTAACAGCGAAAACAGAAAAAAGGCATGTTTTTTATATGTACAGTGCGATGGCCGTCTGTCACTCTGTCAAATAGTCATGTTTTGCGGCTGCGTGTACATATTTTCTGGTCAATTTCCAATCTGTCTGATAGAGAACCCAACCCAAGTGCCCATATTCTCAAATGGACCACTGTGTCTTGTAGTTTTTGAAGTTCCATTTTTCAATTATTTGCTTCCACTGTGCATTAAGATAGAGTTCTTAAGAACTATGCCTAAAATTCAATCTTCATTCATAATCATTTTTAAAGAATCATATTTATTTATATAGAGGCTGAAAATATAGAAATATCATTTTTAAAAAGGGACGTGTCGTGTTTTCTGTTGATGCATGTATTTAGTGTTCTTTTTTTTTTCCAGAAACAAAAAATTATATTATCAGGCTAAGCGTATATGGTTTTGAAGTCCCATAATACTTGCATTCAGAAAAAAAAAAAAAACAAATTGTAATGCAAATATATTAATTACAGGTATGAAGATTGTTACTATTATAATAGAATGCGGCATAATTTTTCTACGTCTGGATCTACTCTATGAGTTTACTTATTATTATTTTGTTATTACTGAACGATAATACACTCATTTCAATAAAAAAATATCTTTTATTAATTTTAGTCTATAGGTAGACGGTAAATCAGATTTAAGAAAAATTTTTCTCATTTTGCTGTCCTTAAAAGAACAAAGTAGAAATTTAAAAAAAAAAAAAAGTTTTTCTTGCAACAGCAGAGTTCGCGGCCTTTAGGCCCAAATCAACATGACCAGCTCTAAGTCATGTCTGCCCATGTATACGGCCCAACTCAAGTTAATTAACCTAGAAGGAAACAATGTTTCGGACCGGGAAAAGATTGTGAAATTCAATTTTCAATATCACAACTAAAGAACCGAAAATGAGTTATTGAAAAATATTTTTCGAATATGAAGAAATCTAATATTTATTTCTTCTTCTTCTTAATATTCAAGAAAGAAATAAAAATGATGGAGAGAAAAGGAAAGGCATTCTGATATGGAGTGCGATAGAGAAACATGGCTAACGAGGCTTTACATGGTGGTTCGGGTGCGAGCTTAATGGCTCTTCCATCTCATCTGGCAAGACAATTGTTGGATTCTGATCTGTTTGAACCGATTCGATTGCGAGTTGTACCTTAAAGGGCTTGCTACCCTCCTTTATGTCTTTTATTCAGTTGTGGACTGGTCTTCTATTTAAGTAAATAAACCCATTCAAGTTTTCTAGAAGTTAGAATATGAGTGGGGGGTGCTTCTGGTTCGTATAGACCAAATTCTGTTCCCACTTCAAATCAATACATTAGCCTATAGGCTATAGCCCACGTGTTTCGTTTCCGTCACGTGCAAATATTGATATATAATAATTTATTAAACTTATCCTAATTAATAATTACTATTTCATTACTAGAAAGTTAGCTCATTCATGACCTAATTGCTTTTGTTGTGTGTTGTGACTGTGATCCCATTTAGCTTTTCTCCATGACGATGCTGCAATGTTGATTTTATTAAACTGTTTGCTAATTAAGAATAACTACTATTTTATTTTATTAATAACACAGTAATTATCAAATTAATCTTAGCATTTATTTAATAAAAAAAATTAATTCTTCAATAAAAAATACAATTTTCGTTAATTAATAAAACATGACATTTATTAGGCATTAGAAGGAAAAAAAGGTGATAAATAATTTAATAAGTAATCATTTAATTTGAAGAAAATAGTGAAATTGCAGCTGAAATTCTTATTGTTCTCGAATGTTGCACAAGAACCTGCAAAGGAAAGAGTAACTAAGCGAAAAATAAGATGGTACTAGAAAGTAGAAACAGGCCAGTGGGCCAGTGGCCGACAGACATCACATACAGTTCCGCGTTTATAGTTTGTTACTTTCTGGGTTAAGATCGTGTATTTCTAGGAAGATATTAAAGCAGCCACAAAGAGTACAGGTGGTATATATATGACTATGCCACCTCATCAGAAACTGTCCAGCTGGACAGAGTGACGAGTCAAACTGTAAAACGCCTAATAGAAAAATCCTAGTCAAATCCTCAGGTTGCTTAACTGGACCCACTAGTGTGAACCCTGGCTGTCTAACTGTCTCCTTCATTCTCCGCGTCCAGTTCGCGCACAAAATCCAAACTTTCTTTATAAATATTCCAAATAATCAGCAAGCTTACAAATCCAATCCAAAAACAGCGACTAATAGAAAATCAATTTAAATAATGAGCAGTCAATTTTCTGATCCTTATCCAGTATTAGAAAAGCAAGACTCCGATACTAGCACCGGCACCGCGAGCCTCCAACGCTCTGCTCACTCCGACGAAGAAGTACTGCTAGCTACAAGCTACCCGAAGAAGCGAGCAGGGCGGCGAATATTTAAGGAAACACGACATCCCATTTTTCGTGGAGTTCGAAAAAGAAACAATGAAAAATGGGTTTGTGAGCTTAGAGAACCCAATAAGAAGACACGTATATGGCTCGGTACATATCCAACACCAGAAATGGCGGCCAGAGCACATGACGTGGCTGCATTAGCGCTTAGAGGAAAATCGGCTTGTCTTAACTTTGCAGATTCTTCTTGGAGGTTGCCGGTGCCTGTTTCTAAGGAGGCGCAGGATATTAGAAGAGCTGCGCATGAGGCGGCAGAAATGTTTCGGTCTGGAGAAACGGAAAAATGTGGAGTTGAATATAGTGGTGAAGTGTCTTCAAGAAATAGTGAACTTAAGCAAGAAAACGATGTGTCGTACATCGATGAGGAGGCTGTGTTTGATATGCCAGGGTTGCTCGCTAATATGGCAGAAGGACCTTTACTTTCTCCTCCACATTATGCAGGTGGTGACGATGGAGTGAATTGGGATGAATTGGAAGCCGACGGTGAGGTGTCTTTATGGAGTTTTTCTATTTGATGATTTGTTAACGGTAAAGAATTAGTGAAGTCATAATAGGATATAGGATATAGGATATAGGATAGCAAACTAAATTATAGATGTTGAATTACAGTGATGATGATTAGATTATTAATTGATTAATTCTTTTTAATGTAATATATAATACCATTTAATTGAATTGTAAATATCATTGTTTTGTAATGCGACTAATTACACATATATGTAGAATTTTCCTTTTATCTAGTAAAATATATTAATTTTAAAAAAATTTCATGCATAGTGAGCTTTTAACTCTTTTTTTCTTTTTATAATAATGATTTTTAAATTTTAATTTCTTTTAAGTGATGAATATTAGACTAATGTAATAATTTTCTTGTTTAATTATTACTTGTGGAATTTATTCTATTTTGGTTGATTTTTTCTACCTGCATGTACACCCAATTATAAATATGATAATAGCATGTAAAATAAATATAATTAATAGCACAATCATTCATCAAAAAAGAATGTAAATAATGTCAGTTCACATTTTATTTCTTGAAGTTTTCTTAAGTGCAATTCAACTATGCTAAACTTTTTATTTCAATTATCATTAAATCTTAATTTAAATTTCAATTTTGAACTATCGACTTTATATCCGTCAATAAATAATGTTGAAAATACATAAATTGAAAAAGCTATTCGGTTATTTATAAATATCTTATACATAGTGTTATCTTTTACATAGCAAACCCACAATTATCTTAGACTTTACTCTTTTGTGATGCATAAGCGAGTACTTGATCACATTCTCTATCTAATATATAAGTTATTAAGTTCTTATGATATAGCAGTAAATACCAGACACGAAAGTGGAATTATAAATCTAAGAGAATTCATTTTCTATAAATTCAAGTGAATGGAAATCAAATCACAAATTAAAAAATATTATACTACAGGAGAGTTTTATTTAAATATCACTTCGCGCCTAAAAAAATTTACGAGATGGTGCATAAAATTTTCAAAAAATTAGTAACTCCACAATGACATATCAGAATCACTACTATCTAAGGGATTCCAATGATCATTAGAAAACTCTCCTTCAAAACGGGGAGGAGAGAGTAAAAGACCTTGAGCCATGTCCACAAGTAATCTTGGCATATCAAATATGGTGTCTTCCTCTACAAACCACAAGTTTTCTTCATAATTTTTACACTCTGAATCAGTTGAATCTACAAAACTATCATCTCGCCTTGTAATCTGCACATCATCAGATTCTTCACGCCGAAACATCTCAGCAGCTTGAGAAGCTGCCCTTCTAATCTCCTTTGCGTCTCTGGAAGCTGGCACAGGCAATCTCCAAGCTGAATCAGCAAAGTTAAGACAAGCAGACTTGCCTCTAAAAGCCAATGCAGCAACATCATGTGCCCTAGCTGCCATTTCTGGTGTAGGGTAAGTCCCAAGCCATATTCTTGTTTTCTTGTTCGGTTCTCTTAACTCACAAACCCATTTATTCCCATTTCTCTTCCTTACACCTCTGTAAACTGGATGGCGAGTCTCTTTGAATACTCTTCTTCCAGCTTTCCTTTTTGGAAGACTAGTAGCTAACAACACTTCTTCATCTGAGTGAGCTTCTCTAGTTTTATTAGTAGTACTACTGCAAGAATCAGATAGAGAAGATGACGATTCTTGCGTATTGTTATCAGATGATTGGCAACTCATGATATTAGTTTGATTTTTGAAAAATAAACTGAAGTGAAATGAAAAGAGAAAAGCTAGAAAGTGGGTTTGCTTCACTTAGTGCTTTTAAGTGTCTGAAACGAAATCCTGATACTGGTTTTGTGGGTTAGTGCTGTTCTAAAAATGTGTACATATAGTGTTTTGTGGATATTTAAGAGGGTAAGGGTTTGGACGCGGAATAAGCAGTACCCCGCTGGAGGCCCACGGTTGATACTAGGTGGTAAGTAGTGTCTTTATTTCTTTAAGGTCTCTTCTTTTCAACTATGGGGACTTTTGTTTTGTCGTTTTGTCGTTTCGGCCGCCGCAGGAAAGTGCCAAACTGTCAACACAAACGTGTGATTTAGAATGTTTCAAACAAAAAATAATAACGTTTAAATAAATAACAGGAGGAGAAATTAACACGTGGAACTTCCACATGTGCATGTTACAAATCTTTTTATGTAATGTAATTCGTCACCTTTTTACTTGTCTTCTCCTTTCCCTTATTAAACAACAAAAAACAGCTGGTAGAACGTAGAAAAAAGGGTTTTAGCTTAGTTACCAGTTTTGGGCCGCATACTCAGTAACTGCGTGAAGAGTGTGTTGCGTCCGTGTATTGGTGATTGACTTCTTCCTCCTTTTTTCACTAATTGCACATACAATGAATTTAAACTGTGTTCTAAATTATGGGACACAGTCAGAACGATTGACTTCTCAATTCTCATGGGAAAGGAATGAGTTCTGCGTTTATACTTGTTATTGTCAACCATGAATTTTTATTTTTCACTATTCAACACAAAATTCATTAATGGATTTTTTTCTTTTTAAGAATCAATGAGTTGTACTTGTCTCGAATCATGAGGTGTAAAAGTATTTTATCCATTGTGAGTTTTGAGAATCGAATTTGTATTTTCGTTCCGACACGAATTAAGGTCGCTTATTATATTAACTAATACTTTTTTAATCATTAAAGAATTAATTTAGTGTAAGCGCAAAATTATTTTATTTACGTTATAGAAATCATCGGTTCAAATTACAGGAATAATATTCTATATTAATATTTCATGTTTTGAGTCAAAGGCATATATAGATGGCCCATTAGTTTTTACAAATTAATTCAGAGTGTTTTATTTTTATATATTTAAATTCAATTTAAATTTATTCCATTCAATTTTTATTTTTTATTTTTTTTAATATAATTAGGCGTCATAGAAATTAGTTTAAAGCTTTTTCAATAATTAAAAGCTTGAAAACGACGTCGGACCCAGCATTAACGATAACCACGTGGGATGTTCAAAATGAATCCGTGGGCAAAACTAAAAGGCTCAATAGTGACACAATTACTAAAAAGGCTTGCCCTAGACATGTTTTCTTTTTGGGCTTAAAGCCCATAAAATGTCATTTCAGAAACTTTTCTTTTTGACTACCAAAGCCACAATATGCTTTTTTTTTTTTTTTTTTTAAAAAATAATTTTTGACTACCAAAGCCACAATATGCTTTTTTTTTTTTTTTTTTTAAAAAAAATAATAAATAGAATGAAAAGAATTTCCAGTCAGTTCAAACCATGTCGATTTCTGAATATCTTTTTTTTTTTTTTTTTTTAAAAAATAATAAAATAGAATGAAAAGAATCTTCCAGTCAGTTCAACCATGTCGATTTCTGAATATCATTTATATATTCTCATCAAAATAAAATATCAGGGAATGGAAAATTAACAATCACAAATTCAGGTTATGTATTGAGCAAATTTAATAACCATGCTCAAACTTGATTCATTAATTACTGATTCAAATCTCACAAATAAATCTAAAAGCGAAAAACAGAAAAACATTGACAGCGAATAATACTTAATTTGAGCATTCAGTTAAAGAATCGTTTGAGTGGGCTAAGGGAAACTCAACATAAATGGATATATTTATGGGAGGCATGTTCAGTCAGTACTTTTGGCGAGTTGATATCAACATTTTAACTAATTGTTTGGATTCAGGTGTGAAACACAATAATCACTCTCTCTTTAATACACCTAACTAATTAATTTTTTGATTTTTTACTGAGGGTGTCCTCCCACCTCTCGTTTAACAGTTAAACGAAAGATTAATTTCTTTCGAGTCAGGAACGATTATATTTTAAAGCCCACCCTAAAATGCCGATTCCACAACTCGATTCTGTGATCACCAATGTGGGATCTCACATGCCTTAACCACTAAACCAAGTTATCTTGGATAATTAATTAAATGAACTAATTATTGTTAATATTAATATCAACTACTTTAATCAGCCTTTTAACACAGAAATTGCACCATAGCAAATGACTTACAGCTGCTTCTTTATGATAGATTTGACACAAATAACAACAGAAGCCAATACGGTCAAAACATTTCTTCCTAAATTCCAAAATTTGTGGGTCTCAATTCTCAGTTATTACAAATTACGTGATTATAAATGTTTTTGGAGACCGACAAACGTGCACTTACTTCATATCTAGCTAACATACAGCCAGGAAGTTATTGTGCATGGTACCAATCAAAGGCCAGTTAATAGCCACTAGCAAGAAAATATACTGATTCGAGGTTGGTCCATCCTTTATATAAAGCTTTTCTTTTCTTTGTCATAAGAACTAATTTAATCTAATCATTAATTTTCAATGTGTATACGTACTTTGAAACTCTGTCCTACTCTTATCCTTTTATTGCAGTAGCTAATATAATTATATTAATCAACCAGCATTCGACAATTTTGTACTAAGCTTGCACATGCACTGCCACCAGACTATATATAACTTGGTGATGTTGCCTACCTAATCTATACTTTTTGGGGTTTGGGTATTTAAGGTTAGCTATATATAGTTTAGTGACAATAATGTGATGTACATAATCGTTCAATGGGTAATCGAGATTTTAAATATGACAAATTTTTAAGTAAGATCGAGCTATTTCTAGATTTATTAACACCTCTAATAATATCATTAACTAAAACTTTATTTTAAAAAATTGTTGACTCGAAGGAGTAATTTAGTGGCAAAAGCACCTGATCAAGGACTTGAGGGATCCATGAGCTTGTTGGTTTGAGCCTCTCTTAATGCAAAATCTTCATAGATCATCTCTCGTGCCTCTCGAAGTGAATATAGAGTAATCGGATTATATAAACAGTTAAACGAATATAAACCTGCACATCTCATGGTTAAAAAAAATTAATGTTAAAAAAAATTAATGTCAAAAGAAAGAAAATGCAATATTATAATTTGACACCCTACTAATGAGCTGGTACGTAGATTACTAGGTTTAACGCAATATTGATATAACTAAAAGATATAATCTTCTTTTCTCGTAAAAGTAAAAGTTTTTTACCTTTTAATAAAATGATTTTCCAATATTCAAATTTGTGTTTCGCTTAGTATCTCCATCAAACAAAACGTTTGTTGGTGATTGCTAGGTTATATTGATGCAAGTTATGTCACATTTTGTGACCTTCATGGCTTGCAATGCATGTAACAAGTTAAACAAAATGATTAATCATAAACAATTTGGAAAGTTGCATACGTTCTGGACCACTACCACGTAATGTTCCTGTTCGTGGCAGGACCATGAGCAGGTCCATACCTGGCTAGAAGCTAAAAGAGACTTTAAAATTTGTAAATGTACTCATGTTGTTTCCTCTTTGGTTTGCAAGCTCAAATCACAGTTCTATCTATCAGTATCTCAAGCACGCGTGATCTTTTCATTTTCAAATTATTACTATATTATTAATGCCTTCAAAAAGTTTACTATTATTAGAATTTAGAAGTATTTTAAATAATCTCACGAGTGTCTCGACCAAGAACCATATATTATGATAATTATGTTTTAGCTACAGTTAGGTGGAAATTAATTCGACCGCTGACCAATCACTCATCAACATCTAATTGATTGAAACATGTGGTACGTATACCTACTTGATTAATTTCATTAAGATATTGATTAGGCTTCTTAACCCTTTAATTTTTTTTTTTTAACTGAATTAATTAATTATTTTGATAGTTTTATGAATTTGACCTTTTAACTTGATTAATTCTTACACATTTGCAAGTACATGATTTTATATTACTTTTACTCTTTTCTAGGCAAAAAACTGACCGCAGGCACTTTAACTTTTTTAGAGTCCAAATATGAAATTGAACTCTTAAATGACACTATTTATTTTATAGCATCAATTTTCCACAGTAGAATTCATGTTGTTTACAGTATTTACGGAAGAAATTCATTTTTATTTATTTTTATGAATATCTCGTTTGGAGTATATAACTAATCTTATTTTAAAATTCATACATCTCCCGCATAAATATAATTTTCTCATATCAGATCGAAGACTTTGTAAATATCAAAAAAAAAAAAAAAAACAATTACCAAAATATCAGATCGAACGGACTTTGTTAAATTATCAAAAAAAAAAAAAAAAACCAATTACCAAATATAACATGTGAGAAAAAATTCGCAAATAAGGGTAGAAAATAAGTTAGATATGCCAACTTTTATGTAAAAAAAAAAAAAAAAAAAAAGAAAAAAACAAACCGGAAGAGTGATTTTATTATTAGGGATTATGAGACCCAAAATATACCCTACAAAATCTTGCCTTATTTCAATTACACTATTTCTCGAGATGTATGCGTGCTTATTATGATCCAAACCTACCAAAAATCAATGACCGATCACTAGAAAACTTGAGGACACCCTGAATTTTTATTTTTCGAAAACTTCTCGAATCTTTAATTAAATCAAAAAATTCTCTCGATTTTTTCAACTAATGGGCTATATATATACCAAACAATCTCAATTCGAGCCCAAAATTTTTACGAAGTCAGGCCCAAGCCCAAATAAAATTATCGAAGAAATTTGAATCGTTAACGGTTAGAAATTTTGAGAATAATACGAAAAACCCCGTAATTTAATTTAACCTATTATGAATATATATAAATTCATTATCCTAAAATCAAATATTGTTACTATAAATAATTTTATAATTATTGAGTAAATGGAGAAAATATTACGAAACGGAACTAAACGGTTAAAATAAATTGAATCAGGCCCGAAAATCAGTTTAATTTGTCGAGAACCACCCAAATAATCCGAAACCGAGGGAAAAACTTAAAAATCAAACGAAATGAGACCAAACCACTAAATCGGACCAAACCAGTTTGAATCGAACCGGAATGGCCTAGAGTTTGCTAGAAACCGCCTTACTTTTTTTTCTTTTCTTTCTCTTCTCCTTCTTCAGGCGCGCGACAGCCTCCCACAGCCTCCCTCCACCCTCCCCCTCCGTTTCGGCCACCGCTCGACGAAATAGCGGAGATGGCGATCGTCTCCGCTAGAGCTCCTGGGTCCGGTTTTCGACCTCCTTCCACACTGCAAGAGTCTCCAGTTGACGCGAAGCGGGACTGTTCTCCATCGGACAATTTCCTTCTTCGATTCTCCGACGAAGATCGAGCAATTCCGGCGACGTTCAACACGAAAGGCAAGGCGTCGGATCGAGGTCACCTCCACCTTTGAGTGATTTATTTTTCTCTCCACTCTCTCTCGGCTACAAAGCTTTGAAATGGCGAAATCACTATTTAATGCGGCCACCAAGCTTTACTGTCGACTAATTCAGCCAAATTGGAGGGGCCAACCTCGCACAACCGACATCAAAAACGATCCTCGATTGGAAATTTTGGACAGAGGGGTGGCGTGAAGAAAGGGTCAATTCTGGGTGGCCCCAACTTTTCGGCCACCGTTGGACGCGCTTGGCCGACGGCGGATCGGTGACCGTGCCGGACCGACACTCGGCGAGGCCCCAAGAGGCAGAATGACTCCACTTCGCCGTTTGAATCTGCGGAAATTGAGCGTCCGATCTCAAACGGTTACGGCCCTAATACCTATTTCCTAAATTTTGTTTTTAATACTCCAAATTTAAAAACTATTAATTTTGATTAGTGAAATCAAATATAAATCCCTTGCCTATGAAAATTAATTAACTGATAAAGTAGTTTACAAATTATTTTTGAACATTTTTTAATAAATTTACATGGTTATTGTTTATTAAAATAGGTGATTGAGGGGGAAACTAAATTAGAATTAGTTTAATTAGTTAATTAGATAAGTCATTAGTTAAACTAACGATTGTGCATAAGAAAGTGAGGCAATTTTAGTTGGTTAACGGTTAGATCCAAATTTTGATTAATCAAGATTTGGGAGGGCCTAGCCATTGTTGATATGATATAAAAACGAATTTAATAGGGTTAGTAGTATAAAGTTATTGGTTTAAAATATGTTTTAGCTACTTAACAAATTAGTTACGGGTAAAACTTAATAATTTAGTTAAACTAATGACAATAAAATGATCTTAATGGATCATTATTAGAATTAGTTTGTAAATTTTGATGGAGTGTTGATATGTGTTTTTTGGAAGGAGGATGGGATTTTAAATTGATTTGATTGCCCGGACGGAGGCGTGCTGCCACTGAGATAAGATATGATGACTCAATATTGTGATATTTATTGAGGCAGGTAGGATAGCCCAATTTAGGGGAGGTTTGCTGTCGAAATTTGACAGGAATTTAGACAAATTTTTAATTAGGATAACATAACAAATAAGCTTATTAGATAAATTTCTACAATTGATACATAATAAATAAAAGTGCTTTAACTACCTTGTCATTATCATAATTTTGATAGAAATTAGACTAAATTTTAATTAACAACATAATTAATAAGTTTATTTAGATTAGTTCTATAATTTGGTACATAATAAATATAGTGCTACTGATTATTTATTATCTTTAGTATTCATTTAATTATGTACATATTTATTTATTTATTTATTTATTTGCATTGATTTTGGATGTATTTGGTGTAGTACGTTGAGAGAATTGTTTGAATAATTGTGCTGTGCATATATTGTGTTTTGTTTGTGTGGAATTGGGATGAAGTGGGTCACCATGGGACTGTGAGACCGTACAGTTATATGGATCCAATATGATTACCGTTAGCCGGGTAAATGGGAGATCGGCGCCCCCGTGTGCACCTACCGTTACCGTTACCGTTAACCACGGGTTGGCTTCTCGTCGTTGCGCACCGGACAGGTCTGATTTTTTGATTGCAGCCCGCAGGGTGGCCTTCCTGTTTGTGAGCGCTGATGATCTAGATTGGATGGGAAACGACCACCGGGTTGCTCCTGTTGTATGAAAAAAGAAAAGAACGGAGAATGGGAAAAAACCAATTGAGGAGGCTGGTTCAAGTGAGATTAGACCGGTCGGCCAGTATGGGGATCGGCTCCCTTGGTGCCACACGTAGAGGATGGGCCATGTGGGGAGGACGGCTTATCGGGTTCGGGTTGACCTCCACTGAACTAATTTCCACGTTGATGTGATTATTATGAGATGTTATAATTGTTGAACTGTTGCTGGTGATATTTGCCATTTGTCGGAACTGGCTGTTGTTTGAGCCATATAACTAGTCGGAATGGACTAGAATTGATATTTCATACATTTTGTGAATGCGTGTGTGTATTGTGCAATAATTATTATTCATTAATAAACTCACATCTCTTGTTTAAATCTTCCAGGAAGTAGCATTTTCTAAATCCCAGCTATAACTCTACTCCTTCACTGTTAAAAAGAGATTCTTTAATTTTAATGTTGATATATTAAGTAGATAAATGTCTAAAGACTTATCTGTATACATCTGTTAGTGAATTCCGCAGTTGTAGAATTTGTGTGCAATTAGTCGTGTATTAACATAGACGATGTAATTATGTGAGCCTATATTAAAAATATAATGTATTGTTAATTGGGCCCGAACTGTGGAAATGTTGTAATTGATAAATTTGGGCCGAAATTTAATAGAATCTTAAGGTTTATTTTTCTATAATTATAGGCTGGCTGATGTTTTAAATGATCGTATACTTGAGATAATAGTTAGTTAGTGATTCAGGCTTTTACTACGGGCTATTGAGATAATAGTTATTAGTGATTCAGGCTTACTACGGGCCTCGGGGGCCTTAAGCTTACCTGGGCCCTAGTGCCGGTCCGGCCCATGGAAACGGGTCGTGACAAAACTTCAAGCATAAAATTAATTTCTATTCAACATCTTTTTCAATTTTCAGGAAATATTCCTCCAATCACCAAAAAGAACAAGACCCTTCTAGTTCTTGGAATAAAAAACTTAAGTAATTGTAATAATAATTGATTTGATTTACGGAACATAAAATCTATAGATTTCACATTCAATTAAATTTTACATTCCAATTATTTAGTTGAAAATAAAATATATGAATTTGAAAAGTATTTTTAAAAATAATAAAATATTTTAATTCTAAATTTATATTATAAAATGGTAGAAGTAAGTTCGTAATAAAATTCATCAACGATGACTATTTTTCAACCAATAAAAAGGAATTGTTGAATAATTAAATTTCAACGCTCAAATTCCATCTATCTAAATTTTAAACCCTCTACCTTATAATTAATTCCACATATTTCATTCTGAGCTTCTTACACAACTATATTTATTAACAATTAATTATTAATATTAGTACTGATCATGATATAAACAAAGGTTAATCTAACAGTACATCATTTTTCACGCTTACACTGGGACACTGTATAGAAATCTCAACGACAAGCACACGACAAGCACACGTGCCAAAGCGCGTGAACAGTGCACAGTCAAGTTTGCATGGAAGAGGAGGACACACACGCACCCATATCATTTTCAAGATTTTTCAAAGGTCAACTACTAGTCTTAGCGAGTCTCACTCTCCTCTTGTAATAAAACTCGCGTATAATTATTCTTTTTTTTTTTTTGACATTTCGTATTATTGTTCTTTTATTAAATAACCAAATTTGCTTTTTATGTTTTTTTAAATAAGAAATGACAGAATTCAAAAAATGTACTGACTAGTGACTAAACTATACAAACGCAAAATATGAAATAATAATAAAATAATTAAACTTGAGATTCAAAAACTGCACCAAAAGAAGCATCTAAGCTTCTTCTACCTCTCCTCAATCCCTGTAACTCTCTCTCTCTCTCTCTCTCTCTCTTGTTGTCTCTCCTTTTGAGATCTTAACTATGGATTCTCTATAAAAACCTTCTTTTTATCTCTGTATCTCTTCCTGTAAGTTCTTAATGAGCTTTGTACCTAAAGCTGTTCTTTAATGTTTTAAATGCCTCTCTGTTTCTTTTACAGCTTTTTCACAATCTCTGTAATTTCTGCTTCCTTTCATTATTTCATTTCCTTTACTTATCACTGTGCCATTAGGTCTTGATTTAAATTTTTAAACCTTTATTTATATCTTTCTTCCTCCCTTGCTTTTTTCTGTCTTCTCGTCAAATTTCAAAACTATATGGCTTCAACCATAAATCAAACACCTTATTTGATTGAGAAAAGGCCATTGACACTCAAGGATTACCTTAGGGATGATCTCAGTTCATGTTCATCCAACGGCTTCAAATCTTTCCCTCGCCGACAATGCTGCAACACCGTCAGATTTCTTCTCGAGACCGATCTCAACACCAACGCGAAACAGCGACGTCGTCGTGATCAACAAATTTTCAAAAGAAGTAGATCATCTAAAGCAGCTTCATCAACAATTTCCGCTCTTCAAAAGGCATCAGAGGCCGTCATTAATGCTGTTAAGTTACTTCCATTTCCTTCCTCTTCTTCTATCAAGACTCCATCACCATCCGTACAAACTAGAACCAGAAAGGGAGGGATTCTGCTTCCTCGAAGCCTTTCGAGAAAGCTGTTCAAGAAAAGTTTCTGGAGGAAAGATAGTCATACAGAAAGACAAGATATAGAGATCAAACGGTGGAGATTGTTTCGTGAGTTCCTTGCGGAACGAGATAAACCGTCCGGTCACTCCAGCTCCACTGTTACAACCGCATTTACCACCACCGGACTCTCAAGGAGTTCAAGCAGTAACAGCTGGACAGAGAGCGAATTTACTCGTCACAGCGGTAATTCCGAGAGTTACAGCTGCCGAAATGCCGCCGCAGAAGGTGAAAAAGATTTACCGAGCGAGAAGAAAGTCAGCGGGGGAGTAGGCGTAGCAGTCGGTGAGGATGCGATCACCCACTCGGTCGAAAATACAAAGGTGAGTCAGTAGATTGAGTTAAGAGTTGTTATTCAGTACTTCGCGTTTAAATTTAATATTATCACCTGTCCGTTGTTGGCCCTCTCCGATTGGCTCATAGAATCACATTACTCGATTTGCTCTCTCCATTTTCCACTCAAAAAAAAAAAAACAACGCAGTGACTGGACGGGGATACGTTGGGAATTTTGAAAATTGTTGAAACATAAGGACCTATGAGGCTGCATGAATTTCACGTGTGGGGTATAAATTGGAAACTGGATACAGTAGGTCTCAAGCCTATGAAATTAAATACAATCGAGCCCTTCGAGACCTACGATCCCGCTACGTGTTGTCTAATATGCGGGATCTACGGCGGTAAAACTCGAGGGAGTATTTAGTTTCATGGAATACGAGACATACCTCCAATTCTTTTTAATATTTTCGAATTTTTACTTTTTCAAATTTCTCTTTCTCTCTTTTTTTTTTTTTTTTTTTTTTTTTTTTTTTTTTTTTTTTGTCGGCGCATTTTTTTTTTTTTTTTTTTTTTGTCGGCGGCATACCAGTTTTGGTGTGTGTTATATAAATAAAAAAAATAATATAGGACTTAATTTTTCCGTGTTTGTTGTTTAATTATAGCATATATAACTACCAATAAATAATTGTGACTAAACAAATGTACAGGCGTGATGCGTTTTGGCAAGTACTGGGTTGACTTAGCCAACTAATACAGCTGATCTTTGTTTGTGTTTTATTTAAATAAAAATATTTTTCAAGCATTTAAATAAAACATCTATCAAATAAATATTTAAATAAAACATTTATCAAATAAATGTTCAAGGCATAGGTGACGACTCGAGATTAGGTTGGGAAAAAAAAAAAGAAAAAAAGACTAGTCGGTATTCAAAAACAATGGGCTTGGTGTTTACTGCCATGAGCTAGAACTAGAAAATGACTAGACAAAGCACAGTGAATTATCTACACCTAGAAGGCTATGAACCATAATGTAGGATTGACATATATATTATTATGTTGCTTTCAAAATCTTTATCAAAGCCAATCCAATAGTTTATCCGAATTGGCTTTTAGTGGATTTTACGTGATTAGATGAGTTTTTGGTGCATGTATATTTTAACAGGAGTGGCCCAATGAGGAGGAGAAGGAACAATTTAGTCCAGTTTCTGTGCTGGACTGTCCTTTCCAAGATGAAGAAGAGATTAGCTCTCCTTTCCACACTAGTCTTGTCCGCATGGAAGGTGTGCCTCTGGTTCTTTTCTTTACATGTTCAAAAAATTGATCAAATTGAAGCATCTCCTTAAAATGAATTTAATCTAATAAATCCAAGTTATTAATTAGATGTGATCAAACGTACAGGAGCTAAAAAGAAACTCATGGCAAAGATCAGAACATTTGAGAGCCTTGATCAGCTAAAACCATTGAATTTGGAAAAGCAAATTGAATTGGCAGATTTAGAAGATGACTCGCTTGACAAATTCTCCACACAAGCTTGTTCATTGTCCAATGAAGTAGAAAAATGTACAGAAAGAGAAGCTGATGAGCTCCTTAAGCTTGTCAAGGCAACAACACCATCAAATTCAAAGGCAGATACTATGTTGCTCGACTTCTTCAAAGAGAAAATTCTTGAAAACAATACAAATGATAATAAGATTTTGGGATACAAAGAATTCAAGAAAGAATTAGAGGCAGCCCAAGACTGGATAAATGGGGACCCAAAAGAAATGATTTTAGGATGGGAAGTGAAGGATAACAGACACATCTATATTAAAGATATGGAGAGAAATGGGAAATGGAGAAATTTTGGTGAAGAAAAAGAAGAGTTAGTTTTAGAGTTGGAGCTAGAGGTTTTTACTTCTTTGGTGGATGAAGCCTTACTTGATCTTCTAATTAGTTAATTAATCTCAGTTGTAGTGGATAGTTCAATAAATAATATTTTTGTTAAATATTAGATGAACTCAAGGTTGTTTTACTCATTTGGAGGCAGGAATTTAGCTTGAATGATTAAAGCCACCTTGAAGCATATGCACTAAAGAGAGAATCAAATTTTTGTTTTCTTATTAGTTTTTGTAGCAGTAAGACAAAAGATGGGCAAGGTTTGATACTAGAAATATCATATATATGTAATGTATGTATATTTCTTACATTTTTATGACAATTATTTCGTTGATAAAAAAGAAAATCTTAACTTGCTGAGATGTGTTTTTCCATTTAAAAAAAAAAATTGCAAACCATCGTAGATTGCTCGCAGAACTCTAAGCCCAACAGAGATATTAATTTACAAGTCTTGGCCCAACCCCAAAACCGAAAGGCCACTCTTCCAATTGGGCCCTTTATTATAGTTTCAAAGGCTTCGTCAGCTACCTACTAGTTCTATTCCTTGTAAAACAATGAATAAATTACTGCCGCTTTCGCTTTGTACGCACGTTTGATTTTTTCCGGCAATAAAATATATAATAAAGTAAAAAGAAAAGGAAATTAGTCTTGCTTAATTTTTTTTTATTTTTTGCTTTTTGTGGAATTTGCCTAGAAGAAAGTCAAGAAAAACAAAACGAAAGAGAGAGGAGAGGAAAAAGAAAAGAGTGTTTAAAATTAAAATAATAACTTTGTTTAGTTGATGATTAGTTCACTACCTCAAGATTAACCCAAGAGATGATTATTTAAGTAACGATGATTATTTAAGTGACAATGAAAAAGCATTGTATCAATACAAAATATTTTATTTGGATTAGATGGGAAAGAAAAAAAAAAAAGATAAAGAAAAATAAGATGTGAAGGAAAATATAATCTTTCTTTTTCTTAAAAAAAAAAAAAAATTTCTTCCATACATTTGAATGCAAGAAGATAATATGTTTTCTTTATTTATTTTATTTCTCCTTCTAATTTGAAGAGGAAAATTTGTAAATAAAACAAGAGTTTTTCCTTTCCTTTTCCAAGTAAGATTCCAATTAAGCCCCTTTGAGTTTTGCTCTCAAAATTGGAAATTCAAGGGGCAGGTATTTAATATTTTTACCTTTTTAGCTTTTCAGAAAGGGAAAATTAACAGCATATATATATCTTCGTTTGCCAGGTCATATAGTCAAATTACACGTGGCATGTTATGAGCGCAAAGTTTAAGTCTTTGCATGAGGTTAGTAGGGCACCGCTCCTAGTCCCAATATCTCGCGATATTTATCATGGCCATTATCGGTTTTTCCGCTATCTATGCTTTTAAGCTTTGTATATATAATCGGTTTGGTTCAGTTGATTTGATTATAAAGAGTTTAGTTTTTTGGTTTACTTTGATTCACATTGAAACTTTTTTTAGTTGAATTTGATTTTATAAAAATTAATTAATTAAATTTAATTGAATCAATTTAGTTTGATTCAATTTAATTCTAATAATAACTTCAGTTTGATTCAATTTTAAATTAAACCTACGGTTTATTCACACCTTAATATCAGTATTACTTACTATCTACTGTTTAGAAGCTAAATATGTTCCTGACAACTTTTACATTGATGGATTATTAACCAAAATTTCCTAGTTCCCATATATGCCTGATCTCATATATATCGCGATTAAATATCGGGTTTTCCTCTCGCGAGAAAACGTTTTCTTGAAACCTGAAACTGTCCTAAATCTTAATTCCCTAACGCGTCCAGACGTATGACTTGTAACCAAACTCTCTGTTTATATTCCATTTTTCGTTTTCTATTCCCTCAAAAATCAAAATTCTCCTCTATTTTTCCAATCGCCCAAACCCCCAAATAAACCCAGATAACGCGCTCTCTCTCTATCTCTTCTTGTTGCAGGGAGAGAAGAGAAGAGAGTCTCTATTGTAGGGGCCTTTTTCAACTTCGCCTTCGATACTTTTCTTCTGCGTTTCAACAACCAATCCGTTATAGTGTTTGGTCTCGCTTTCGCAGCTAAAAAGCGATCAGGAGTTTGGGAGAAGTAGAGAAAAGAAATGAAGAGTGAGGATCAGTCCAGGTCTCTGTTTGGAATTTCTCTCTCTGATCGACCCACATGGCAGCAATTCCTCATTTGCTCCTCTGGTTTCTTCTTTGGTTATCTCGTTAATGGAATTTGCGAGGTTTGTTTTTTCATTTGTTTTATTTGCTGCTTTTATTTTTCCTTTGACTTTAATGAGCTGTGCTTATGTGTTTTTGTTTGGATTAATTGTTATACTCTGTTTGGTAGCTGAGAATATGTCCGATTTTTGGATCTTATCTCTATTGTTATTTTGATTTTTTTTAAAAAAAAGTTGAAAATTAAAACGTTTTAGAGAATGATTTTAGATTGTTAATATTTCTTATGATTCCTCTTTTCTCTTTGCATTTTTTTTCTCACCAACCAAACAGAGGTGTGTTGACTCACTCAGCGAATTCTTAGGCTCATTGTGGCGCTAAAGAGAGGGTGCACTTTTATTGTTCTTTGTGCACTGTTTCATTGGTTTTGAATTCTTCTTTTGACCTTAAGCATATAAATGTTAAGATCCAACTCTTTCTAAAATGTTGAGTTTGCCATTTCATCACAAATGTTCTACTACTCTGACCCCATTAATTCAAAATATAAATTCAAATTAAAATTCAATACTTATGAATGTTTTTAAGTTTGATAATCCTCTCTTCTTTCTTGATTAATTCCAGGAATATGTGTATAACCGGCTCCAGTTCAGGTGCATTGCCATTCCCAAAACAAATATAACTGTTCTTTTTTTTTTTTTTTAAACTGTTATTCAGGGTTTAATCAGAATTTTGATTTTCAGCTATGGCTGGTATTTCACCTTTGTGCAAGGATTTGTCTACCTGGTTCTCATATACTTTCAGGGTTTCACCACTAAGCAAATGGTAAATCCATGGAAAACTTATGTGAAACTCTCTGCTGTTCTTATGGGTTCTCATGGGTTGACCAAGGGTTCTTTGGCCTTCCTTAACTATCCAGCCCAAATTATGTTCAAATCCACCAAGGTAAGTAACCCTTTTCTTTTCTCCTGATTTTGTTGAAAAATGTTACTCTCTTTTTATTGGCTTTTTAATTGTGTGAAATGAACAATTTTAGGTGCTACCTGTCATGATAATGGGTGCCTTTATTCCGGGCTTGAGAAGGAAATATCCATTTCATGAATACATATCTGCTCTGCTGCTAGTTGTTGGTTTGATCCTTTTCACCTTAGCAGATGCCCAAACTTCTCCAAATTTTAGCATAATCGGTGTTCTGATGATATGTGGTGCCTTGGTTATGGATTCTTTAATGGGGAACTTGCAAGAGGCCATTTTTACCATGAATCCTGACACAACACAGGTGAGCATGATTTTCTCGTAGGTAATTGAATCAATTGCTGATTTGACAGAATTTGCTTTCTGTTATTAATTTTTGCACATTTTATTTTCTAACAGATTGAGGTGCTGTTCTGCTCAACAGTAGTAGGATTGCCTTTATTGCTTCCACCAATGATCTTGACAGGAGAGCTGTTCAAGGCTTGGAGTTCTTGTTCACAAGTAAAGAATTCTGCGTAATTTTTAACATCAATGTCTACGTCTATATATAACGTATTTTTATATATGCCTATGTCATTTGTTTTAAAAAGACATATAACGTATGATTTCAAATAAAGATGGTTTTGAAGTTGTGTCTCACTAGCTTGCGGGCAATAATTTCTTAGGTGGAATTAATAATTTGGTAGTTGGTATCCACTGCTTTAATAGTATATTTATTCGAATACAATATTCTAACTTTACCAAACTTAAAGTGGCATTTTGTCAAATTGAAGGTTCTAGCTCAGGAATAGACCTGGCAACAAGATATTGGAAATATATAATAAAATATTGTAAAAAATTATATGAAAATCTCTGGACTGAAAGATGTACAATTGTTTTATGTTAAATAGATGAATGAGAGCATTGATGGAAGACGAGAAAGTACGGGCTCTAAATTGATGCGTCGAACATAAACATATTAAGGTCATTTCATACGTATTTGGAAGCTTCGTTCTTCTGGTTTCACCTAGACTAAAATCAAGGCCAATAATACAAGACATTCTAATTCTCCTTTTCAGCTTGTGTTGGATTCTTAGACGTGACGATGTTTATTTACATTTCTGGATTCATGTTTTTACTGTTTTGTGTCAATTGTAGCATCCATATGTGTACGGGGTGCTAGTATTTGAAGCTATGGCGACATTCATTGGGCAAGTATCTGTTTTATCCCTCATTGCTATATTTGGGGCTGCCACCACTGCAATGGTATGCACGTTTTTGTTGAACATAAATCCTCCCATAGCTTGCTGCTATAACACTTGTGCTTCATTTATAATTTTGAATTATTGTCTACTACTGTAATACCCCACTTGGAGGACCAGTGGGGCATTCCACTGCTTTATAAATGGGGTTTGAAATGATGCATTGTGTTTTGGGAAGTACATCCATTTCTTAAGAAAGGTGCATCCATCATTAGGATTTGAGCATTGGGTTTGAATCTCACATGGGTTTCACAGATAATGAAATAATAGTAGCGGAGATAAACTGTACAACCCGCTATCATTCTTTTATTGTGTTCAAAATTAGGGCACTTCATGCACCTGATATTAATTAAACTATCTACTGTGTTTTCTCATTCTTCGCTTTCTATTTTTGATGTCTGACGATGTGGCAGATATTTACTGTCAGGTATTTAATTTAATATGCGTACAGTATTCTAAGTGTTGGTTTGATATGATTTATAATGTTCTGCAGATAACAACTGCTAGAAAAGCAGTCACCTTGTTGCTGTCATACATGATATTTACAAAGCCATTAACAGAGCAGCACGGGACAGGACTGCTGCTCATAGCCATGGGAATTATATTGAAGATGTTGCCAGATAACAAACCTCCCAGTAGGAATGCACCCAAGCAGAAGGGCAAATCTCATTTGAAAGAAGAGAAAAGTCTTGTTCGTAATGCAGAAGGTGAAGAAGTTGAGGAGAAAAGCCCCTTGGTATGAAGGAGGAGGTGGGAAGAGGTCTTTTTAATTTTTATTGTTGTGAAGAAGACCAAGCTCATTGTTTATTGGTTCATTTCTTATTACGCCTAGGTAAAGGGTAAGGGTAGAAATAAGTGACAGAAGTATACATGGAAGAAGAGAAAAATAGAGATGGTAGCAAGAAACTAGTCGTGATGTAAATTTCTCCAGTGAAAATGACCTTTCTAAATTCCAAGGATTTGGAAGTTGAATTTTATTTATCTGTGAATAGTGCAATATATTTTTAATTGCATATAAATTAGTTAATTGATAACTATGGGTTAAAAAGTTATATTTCGCACGATAAGTCTAACGAAATAAATCAATAGCAGATAAGCACAACACTGCGATCGGATTCACAGTGAAAAAGAAAAAGAATCACAATTTTCTCAGCATTCCAATACAAAAAGCAGCGACCTTTTACCTTTTGAGAATTAGAAATGGCCGAGAGGACCTCTACGAAGAGCAGCAACAGAATTCTGATGCCTAAATCTAGCCTCATCCCAATAATGGCAACACCAGAGCCGCCACCGTCCAAGTGGTGGCCTCCATCAGAAGCAACATAGCCATTATAGTAATCGGTGAAGTTGTGCTTGTATTTATAGTAGAAGAATTGGCGGAGGATGTTGTTGACCATAAACGAGGGTCGCATAGCTCGTCGTTCATGGAAGAAGGTATCTGGTAAGCAGCTTGGATTGTTTCTTCGAGATGCTTTTGGCCTTCTAGTGCAAGCTCATGAGTCGTTTTGGAGAGTGTTATTGAACTCATTACGTTGTCCTCCATTTCTATATTTCTGATCGATTAATCTTTACTAGGAAGTTCTATTTCACGAGGAAGACAAAGAAAACCCTAACATGAAATTGAATCGATTCCTACTTGTATACAGACAATAGATTGATAGATTATTTTGCCTAAAATTATTTTAGTTTTGAGAAAATTATGGAGTATTATTATTTTTTTTAATTTTATTATTTTCTCTATTAAGCAGAATAATTATAATTTGCAATTTCAAACTCAAGCAATTTTATTATAATTTAAATAATCCAATCATATTTGCAATCGCATGATTTAAAATTGTAAAAATTTAATTTTTAAAATTGAATTTAATCGATAATTCCAGATCAAGACAAACCGACGATTTTGGTCAACTTTCCACATCTGAGTCTGAGTCCTAAGCAGTAAGCGGTAAAGCACAGGCCATAGCCCCAAAGACCTTCAGAATGAGATACCAATGGTGGACCCCGTAATAGCAATGGGCACGTGCCGCACGTGCTTGTGTAACCAGATGAGAGCCAGCCGATGAACCCTAATTAACGTGCACATCCGGCAGTCCCAATTGAAAGTTTGTTCCCCACCTGATCGGACGGCCGAAATCAATTCCAATTCTAATTAAATTAAATTATTTCTAAATTTAAAAAAAAAAAGTTTCTACTTTCGTTAGCATTATTAGCCCGAGCCAAAAGCCAAACAAATTTTTCGAAAGGTGAAATCCTAAAATTTTTAGCACTGTCTGGCGTCTGCAACTTTTCGAAAAGGAAAATATCATGAAAGAAGCGAAACGTTTCGCCGTCTCTGATTCGGCGCCGGGAACCAACGACACGGCCGTGAGTATCTTTCTCTGGAGCTCCAAAAACCCTAATTTTGTTCAACTGTTCCATCTGTTTGATATATTTTGTAGCTGCGTTGTTGGAGTTGAAAGTCATGGATATCAATTAAGGTTAAACTAATGTGATTTTAAAAAAAAAAAAAAAAAAAAAAAAAAAAAAAAAAAACCAAGTTGGGGGCTTTACTTGCCTGAATTTTGGATTTTGATTGATATTGGAATGAAATCAAGTCGAAGTATTTTGATTTTTTAATTTTTATAGGAAAAAAAAAAAAAAAAAAAAAAAAAAACAAGTTGGGGGCTTTACTGCCTGAATTTTGGTTTTGATGATATGAATGAAATCAAGTCGAAGTATTTGATTTTTAATTTTTATAGGGCTGCTAGATTGAGGGGATTTTTATGTCATTTAGTGCATTTGTTTCGGTTGGTTAAGTTTTTGGATTGAGCTTTTAGTTTACATCAGGTCTGCTTTTAGTTTGGCTTTGTTCTTGAGACTTTGAGCTATACTGAAGGAAGTGAGGTAAGAGAAGAGAAGCTTGTATAGATTCTCAGTGGGATTGTATGCATTAGTTTTGTAGAAAAATTTAGTGGTACTTTCGAACAAACAAATTAGCAAGCTTTTCTTTGCCAGAATGTGGTAAAGTTAATGGATTTTTTAAGAGAAGAAATTTTGAAAAGAACTAGAGATACATCATTCATGTTTAGTGATTTATATTAAGAGAGAACTTCCTTTGTTCATGTTATTACTTTGTTAGTATATTGTCATAGACCTCTCAAATTGAGTATAGTGCCATAAAACGTGGAATTCATGGTGTTTTAGTTTTGTAAAAAGCTATAATCTATATGTGTATATTTGGATCTTTAAAAAAGAGGTTTCAGTCATGTTCTAGAAACTGACATGAATTTCAATGACATTGCAGTTCAGGAATAAAAGAATAATGGCAGGATCCTCTTTTGATGTTCATAGGGCAGAACCATCTCAACAGCAGTCAACTGCGATGCCAGTGTTGGATGTGCACCGGGCTGAATCTTCTCGACAGCATGTGAGAGCTCTCAACACTCAATTTGCCAGGTCCACTTTCTTTAGTATCAAGACAACTTTAATGTCATAATTTATTACCTTTAAAGTCTTACCTTCTACTTTGTGATTAATGTTGACTGGATTATTTTATCGTCTGTTCATATATTATTTCTTTTATTATGTATTCTTTTATTGTCTCCTGTGGATTTTCAAATTCTACAGAAGGGTCTTTAGAATGATAAGGAGTATCTGCCTCACTTCAAATATGCATGTTTTTTTAACAAAATCTTATATATTTTCCTAAATTTGTTATTTTTCTTATATTTTTAATAGCTGGGTGCAAGCTCAACTGAAGAATCACCCTGATGAACTTTGGGAAGATGGGATTCGAGACTACTTGGCTCATGCTTCAAACATTATGGTATTTTATAACAGTTTGTAATCTACTTTAAGATGGCAAATATTGGTCATAAATTTTTGTTTGTAGTTGCTCACTATCTCTCTTCTCTTGTGGCAGGAGAAGTTCAGTGATGTCGTGAACTGGCTCAAAGCAAATGCTTCAAAAGGAGGACCTCCTGCTGATTCTCTTGCTACTGAAAAGAAGCTAGTGCCTGAAACAAAGAACAATGAAAGTAAGTTATTTCTAGGGAAAACTGGTTTGGTTCCACCGACCTCAAATACAAGCACTAAAATGTCATGGAGCTCTGGTGTATTCTCCAACAATCAAAGTTCTGGAGGATTATTATCTAATAGCCAAAGTTCTGGTATGTTTTCCAACAATCAAAGCAGTGGCTTCTTTTCCAATAGTCAAAGCACAGGCTTATTCACCAAGAACCAGAGTTCTAGTTTCAGTCAAAGCACTGGCTCATTCTCGAAGAGTGAGCTTTCTGGATTATTCTCTAACAGTCAGACTTCAGCAGCATCTTCTCCTAATCAAAGTTCTGGATTGTCCTCCAACAGTCAAAACACCGCCTTATTCTCCAAGAGCCATAATACTGGATTGTTCTCCAATAGTCAGAACTCCATAGTTTCTTCTGTTAACCAAAGTTCTGGGTTGTTCTCTAATAGTCAGAGCGCTGGAGTTGCTTTTACTAATCAAAGCTCTGGTTTGTTCCCCAACAGTCAGAGCTCTGGAGTTTCTTCGGCTAATCAAAGCTCTGGAATGGTTTCCAGCAACCAAAGTGCACCTGTGTTTTTCAAAACTCCAACCCCTTTTGTTTTTGGTAGGTATTATATTGCGTTGCTTCAATTTCTGTTGGTAATGACTCGTGAATTAGTGACTGTTAAAATAGTAGCTGGAACATTTGCCTGTTAAAATGAGCAAAATAAATTGGCACTAAATTGGTTGCGTGCTTAATAAAGGACCTCCTTGAAGATAGTTTTAGTTTTAAATTTTTAATGATTGTGGATGTTGAACTCTTTTATTATACGTTATGGAACATGATATACAAGTATATTATAACTAATAACTTCTACTAAATATATCAATCAACTTTGACAGAACTGACTATGTTGCTTATGTGAGAGAAATGTGAAGTCTGATCACTGCTTTCGATTATTCTATTTCAGGCCAAAACTCTGCTTCTGCAAATCATAACACTTCAGACGATGTCGATGATGGTGAGATGATGGAAGTTTGTCTCTGCCTTTTGGAAATTGTGAATATATTTAATGCCATTACTCATTGAACTTAACCTTGTCTGCATCATCTTATCTGGATGAGATACAACTGCATTTCGTAAGGATTCATGTATTAACTATATTTGAAACTATGAAGCTCTGAAATTGGTAGTATTGGTCTATCTTCATTTGTGCTTTTGTGGTATTGGTTCACTTTTCCATTCCAAGAACTTGTGCCAGTTGAAGCTTAATTAAGCAACTTTCTTGCATGTTGTTAGAACTTAAAAAAGATACATATGCGAGAAAAGGAGGCAGTTTACATTGATATCGAATTGAGAATTGTTCCTTTTACCAGAAAATGAACCAGAGCAACCTGGCAGCCCATCAATCAAGAAGTCTGAAGAGAAGGGTATTGTTGTAGTCCATGAAGTCAAGTGCAAGCTGTATGTTAAGGTAAATTACATCATTCTTATGCTTATTGGTGTCATTTGAAGACCTGTTTTTGGCATTAAGGCTTTCACTTTACCCATTTTCAGTAGAACAGCATTGGCTTAAAAAATGCAAACTGCAATCAGGTTGATAATCTATTGGAAGAGATATAATAAAGCGAGTTCCATCTTGATTCTTACTTAAAACAAGGCGCAAGATCATGTTTCTCCATGTCAATTTATTTACATGCACAGTTTACTTGCATGTTTGTATTTCATGTCATGTTGCATGGTGTTTGCACTTTTTCATGTCTTTGTTGATTCCCTTTTATGTATTGTGTCTCATGAGATATTTTAGTATGTTATTGGTCTGATCCGCCTCTGGCCAACTCCGCATCCCTTTGTCAACTTTGACATGGATGACCAAAATGGGCTTGACAACTTGGTCGTCACTTCGTACATGAGTTTCTTGGTTTGCTGACGGGGCTTGGCATTCTGTTAATTAACTTTGTTGCTTCTTCCTTTTGGTTTTTGTTTGTAATCAGTTCATCAAGGATTTTTGATGTAATATTTCTCTTATGTGCTATGGCTTTTGATGTTTTCTTGTTTTATTTTGAACCCTTTAATTATTTGGTTTTGCTCTTTGATGTTTCCAGTCAAGTGATCCTGCGGATAAAGATACATGGAAAGACAAAGGTACAGGCCAGCTTTCTATCAAATGCAAAGAGGATGCCACCAAGGGTACAAAAGAATCAAAACCAACAATAATTGTTCGAAATGATGTACGTTCCATTAGACTTTTCTTGATTTTAAATTATTTTATTAGTGGTCTAGTCATTAACAGATTTGCTTCTTCCTCCCCACCCGCTCCTGCTTTTTCTGGTTGATTGTGTAATTTTGCGTTGTATTCGTTATTACATGCACTATAAAGGTTTATATTCCAATCAATTACTATTAAAAATATAAATATTTTGCAGTAGGTGCATTTGTTTATTTTTATATTTGTGTTGTTTTGCTGATGGCAGGCAGGAAGAGTGTTACTAAATGCTTTGCTATATCCAGGAATCAAGACAAATTCACAAAAAAATTCCATCGTTGCGATATTTCATACTGCGGTAACACTTGTTATGCTGAATATTTAAACATCTATGAACTATTATTCTGATGGACTTGCATGGCATGTACTCACAGTTTAGGATAAACAATTAAAGCTTGAAAGTGTTCTTTTTCTGTTTTCCTGTTGAAAGTTGTTAATATAACATGCATTAGACATCTTCAGGGTAGATACTAGGGGTGTTGGGAACTGGCAAACTGCTAAACTTCTGTAGGCCGTTAACTCTATCAATTTCAAACATGGGGTTGATTGTTTATCCTATTGAATTATAAGAACCTGGACCTTTCAAATTTATGGCTTTTTTAATACATCCATAATATGTTGTTTCCTAGTGAAACTTAAAACAAGCTATTTTACTTTCTTTTTTTTTTTTTCTTTTTTTTTTCTTTTTTTTTTTTTTTTTTTTCTTTTTTTTTTTTTTTTTGAAGGCAACTGTTGTGATGATGTGAGAGGAGGATGAGTCTAAGAGCAACTAGTTCAGGAAGTTAGTCACCTTATCTCTATCATCATGTGTGTTTTAAATCTCAATAGCTGGAGTAAGAATTCATCTCCCCCAGGCTGTATATACATCTTATCCATTATTTTTTTTTTTCTTTTTTTTTTCTTTTTTTTTTTTTTTATGAAAAGGCATACTGTTTGTATGGTTATAATAGATGAGTCTAAGAAGCAAACTAAAAGTTACGGAAGTTAGTCCTTATCTCTTATCATCATGTGTTTTAAATCTCATAGCTGTAGAATTCATCTCTCCCAGCTGTATAACTTATCCATTAACTTCATTGATTATGTAAAGCTGTAACCTTCTCAACAATTAATGAGAAAACGCTTCTCTTCAGTTTCTATAATGGATAACTAATGATTTCTAGTTGCACTTGGTGGTTGTCATTTTCCATTAACAGAATTTTATATATTGTGTTCTACGTCATGAAACTTAAAGCTGGCTTTTGCAGGGAGATGATGGTGGCAATAATGATAATGTCGTGGCACGAACCTTCTTGATTAGGATGAAAACAGAGGAGGATCGGAGTAAGTTAGCAACAGCAATACAAGAGTATGCTCCTGCTCATGAAAGTAAATGTACTATGTAATTCTTAAATTTTGCAGTGATCAGCTTGTTAGGAACTAGGCTACAAGAGGAGCCAAAAATAACTGGGTCAATTTTCATGATTTGGACCCTGTGAATCAGTTGTATTTAAATTACATGTACCATGAGAAGGGAAAAAAATGTTGACGTCTTTACTCCAATCTTAAAATAACTCATGTTTTCACGTGCAATGTTGGATAGCAGTTTTTTTATGTAATTTCGATGAATTGTTGTGTTATGGTATGATCAGTATGGTTTATAAAAGAGTGAAAACTGGTTATCTATGTTTCATGGAAACTGGAAACTGAAATGAAGAAATGCAGAAACAATACGGAAAACGACATTTAAAATATAATTTTTCATGAAAAATGGTATTTAATGTTGGGAAACGGACAGAAATGTTTCTGAAACGCAGGATCGCCATGGCTAAAAGTTTTCATGTATTATAACTGATTATGGTTTTTGTAATTAACATGTTGATTAGAATTAAAATATTGTACATCCACATGAATGTGAGACTTTCGAGTTTATTCAGGACAGTTAAGCATCTGCATGCATTTCCCTTTACTATAAGTTAAGAAAAACTGAACATTAACTCAGATTCAAGTTGGTTTATGACTCGTCATAATTACATTTAACTAACGAAAAAAAAATCCAGAAAAAGAAACTCTGATTACAATCCATAAATTAAGTCCTATCGTCAGACTTGAGCTCCATACATTGGCAAATCTCTTCCAGTGTCCAGCTCTAGCAAACAAGTGATAATCTAAGTGATGGCGCAGTAGGAATTTGTGTGCAGGATGCCCAGCGGATGATTGACTCAGTTACTATGATGTTGAGTTGATCGAGCTCACCGAGTCCAATGGTGTGATTCCTTCTGCTATGGATGCTAGAAACTCTAGACCCACTGGTCCCTTCCCGTCGAATTTCCGTTCTTTGAAGTATTTCCCCTACTGCCCGCTTTACAAATAGAGAAGTATTTGGCAACACAAATGGCTTTTGTGAAGTTGCCTCTGCATCTGCCGACAGCAGCTTAAATTAGAGATTTTAATGCCAGAAATGCTTTAGATATTAGAAAAGTAGAATAGCTCCATTATTATCTTATGTGGTTGATTACTTCAATAGCTACTATATATTGTAAGTGTATGATCTTACATACCTCCATGAATCGAACCCATTCCGGACCCGATTGCACTAAATTGGAATGAAATCTCTTCTTTCTGAAACACAGAACTTGGACTAAAGAAGGTAAAGCTTTGCATCGATGGAAATTCTATTTCACCGGATTCACTGCAGTTGCTAAAAGAGAAATCTCCAGATGCAGCCCGAGGAGAAACGTTATCAGCTACCATTGAAGAAAATGAACAAGTGACTGTAGGAGATTGCTCCTGTTGACTTTTGGAAAATACGGATGATCCATAGTTGAAACTATAGTCCTGGCCTCTCGTAATAGACAAACAGCTTCCATCCGTTTCTAGTTGTTCAATGTCATGGCTGTTGTGCTTGTAGGATTCTTGCGCTGCCTCTGCACAATCCTGCATCCAGGAGTGAGCTGTACAAGAAAGTAACCCCTATGATAAGAGAAACTTCAAGCCTTGTAGATTAATATTCAACCAAATGTAAAAGGAAAAAAGGAGCGAGTCCTACAAGTGATTATCCTAAAAAGCTAGAGATGCTATCTTATAGCCTCAATGGCCTAATAAAGGTGGATGAAGAGCCATCTAAGAATATATTAAGTTCTAAATTTTGATGCAACACCAATCATATTAAGCAACCACGGTGGATTCAGCTTTGCAAAAGGATAGACAGTGCGTCTAAGTAACATACTAAAAAAAGACTTATCTAGTGAACCTTCACATGCATGCATTTAGATACCTAAAACCTGTGCAGCACTAAGCCTCTTTGAAGGATCGACACAAAGCATTCCCATGATTAAATCCTTTGCAGATGCTGATATTTGATTCCAAGGATCATGAGGGAACCGTAGATCTGCAGCCCTAACTGCATCAAAGATCCTTGATTTAGTTTTCCCCCAAAATGGAGGCATTCCACTAAGAAGAATGTAAAGAATTACACCAGCACTCCACACATCAGCAGTCTGGTTATATCCTCCAGCCAGTACCTCAGGGGCAATGTAAAATGGACTTCCAACTGTTCCATGCAAATTATGCCCTGTAAGTGGAAAAACAAGTCTTATAGTAGAAAATTTATTTGACAACTCGTTATCAATAACATGTGCTAAAAAGAAAAGAATGGCAAAAAGTTAAAAAAACTTACCTGGTTTGATATAGGTTGCAAGACCAAAGTCTGCCAATTTGATTGGTGATGATGATGATTTGGTGGCTAAGAGAATGTTCTCTGGCTTCAGATCTCTATGAACAATTCCATTCTCATGACAATATCGCACAACTTGCATCAGATGCCTAAAAGTAAGCCGGGCATCATATTCTGAGAATCTCCCATGCTTCTCAAGCCGGTGAAAAAGCTCTCCTCCTGCACACAACTCCATCAACAAATGTACATAATTATCCTCCTCATACACTGCCTGAAGATTTACAACATTTGGATGCCCACATAGCCTAGTCATTATTTCAATCTCAAGCTTCACGCTTCGAACATCATCAAGTGTGACCAATCTATCTTTAGCAATAGACTTGCATGCTAAAACCTCACCAGTCACCTTATCTGAGCATGCCCTTATAACACCAAATCGGCCCCATCCCAACTGTTCTCCAAGAACATATCGATCTTTCAAATTAGATATTTCAGTAGCATCAATAATGGTCTGAGTCAATTTTGATACTTTATAACGTTTGCAATATGTTATTGTCCGGTCAGTGCTGTAGATATTGGAAACATCCATACCAACAAGGCACAACGCTAGTTATGAGAAAAACAATAATCAAAACCTCAATTTATTTCCAACTTTATCACACAACTAACTAAGTTGATCTTGACCACATTGTAGCATTTGGATTATCTCAATTTGAGGCCAAAGTTGAAATCGATCTTATAAACACCCATTTGCTGAACTTAATCGACATCCAAAGGACCTTCCCTCGTAGCATAGTTAAATAAGCTAATCTTCCATCATGAGAAACATTCTCGTACAGAGCAAGCCCTTCAATTTCCAAAGACGATTTTCTGGAAAGCATCAAAGCACCATCAATCACCTAGAACATGATGATTATGTAAATTTCGAGTAGCCTACCCAAATCTATGAACACACACGGGCTTGTGTATATGATAAAGCAGATACCAAGAATAATCCACATTTCTAATTCGCATCTTATATAACATATCCAAAACAGAACTAAAATTCAGAATAAAAAACAAAATTGACCAAGAAGATTCAAAGTCACAAAGTAAGAATAAAGCTGGAACTTCTAAAATTCTTAAAGCTCGCTGACCACAAAGCTACCTGGAACATATGGAAACACACATACAATAAGAAAAGGAAAACCATCAAACAACCATAAATGCTCACTAAAAAGATCAAAATTCAATGCCAATCCCACACAACTACACAAAATAAACAAAACATAAAAGTTCACACCTTTGTCAAGGAAGCCAACAAATAATGCACCAAAAGAATACGCCTGTTGTAATCAGAGAAAGAAGAAGAAGCAGGAAGAGGAGGAGATGGAGGCGCTGACATGTTCATAGAAAAAGAATGAAAGAGGTCCGCTAAAGCAGAGTCTAAATCTATGGAGTCCAAAACGAGTCATTGGCTCTCTCTCTCTCTTTCACACTTGCATAGTTGCATTAGTTTAAAAACCATTTCTCTCCGGGACCGGAAACCGGAAGAAACTGTTTCAATCTTCCACTACTATTTATGTTAATTAATAGAGAGAGAATCTTCACGTTCACTCAAATAATGTGCAAAAAGGGGAAGTATACCTTCACCAGTTATTTTCTGCCACGTGTCCCAAGATGTCGATTTGGTTATAAACACAATCAACCTGCGGTAGCTTAATTACAAATATACCCGCACAAATATGCTCAAAATATGTACAAGTGTTGCAACTTATGAAATCTAAAGACAATCAACTTTTAATTCTGGAATCTTCTCACGATAAATACAGGTTAGTGGGTAATTGTGGTACCAATGAGAGAAAGCATTAGTAGGATAGACGGTCATGATCATGCCACTATAAATTCTCCTGTCTAGGGACAAAGGATAATGAGTTTGTGCCACGTGGGCCACGATGAGTGGCTGTGATTAGTTTAATTAGGTGTACCTTTTTTTATGTTGTAATAATTATATATTATAGCCAGATATAAAAGAGTGAGGAGAAAGCAGAGGTTAGCTAGCTGCAATCTGTCCTGTTATTCATTCATTATTATACTTATTAGCTGTACTGTACTGTATTTTTTTTGGCTTTACTTTACATTTTTAAACTTATATCCATAAATAGTTGACTTTAATATGTTACGCTTTGATTATTATTATTTTGGCTTTCTATGTTCCATTTTGTCGGTTTCTGACCTTGTTGAGAATGCTGAAATAAATTATACTAGTTTTTTCCAGGTGGAAAATCATTAGAATTTTAATTTTTTTTCTTTTTACACGTATATTTTAAATTTTAAACTCTCTTTTACATATAAAACTCATCAATAAATACAATCTATTTCCACATGCATATACATGAAAAGAGAAATATGACAACTTTCGTTAAAATCGCAGTACGTAATTTTGATAAAAACATGTTAATCGTATGTTTCTCTAATTGGTTGCATTAAGAAATAATATCTTTTCACCAAAAATTCGATAACAAATACTTTATTTATTATATATAAAATATAGTTTAATAATAAATACATATATTCTATTAATAAATTCATGTTAAAATCTTTCTCACTAGATATTTAAAAAAAAAAAAAAATCATCCATTTTACATACCCTGTCGTGGTCAAAGCTTAAATAAGGTATTCAGTTTTTACATTTTGTATGATAAAATAAACATTCCACCACTAATTATTAATGTCGCATGATTAAGCTTTTTTCTTTATGGTATATCAGAACATGGGAAGTGGGAAAAACAGAGAAATGCATTGCATTTGCATAGACAAGGGAGGAAAATATCTATTTGTAAGAGACAGGAGGACAAAAGATGTTTTCCTCCTATGTAAGACATAGTAGATATTGTATAGAGAATGTTTGAAAATGAACGAAAAAAAAAGCATCAAAAGCATAATTTCCTCCACCCTTTGAAGGTTTTTTAATTGTTCTAAATTCCAATATTATATTGAATTTAATTACTATCATTAAATTTTGTAATTAATAAACACAACTTTGAAAACAAATTAATTTGAAATAAATTATAAATAATGTTCAATTCATTAAATTTATAAATGAGTGCTTCCCTTTTAAGGACTTAATGCGATACAAACAAAATTAGACATAACTCAATAGATCAAGGACATCTACCCAAAAAAAAAAAAAAAAAAAAAAAAAAAAAGCAAATCAAAAAGCAAATAATTATCCTTGCCCAACCCTTTGAAGGTTTTTTTAATTGTTCCTAAATTCTCAATAGTTAAGTTGAATTTTAATTACTGATCATTAAATTGTTGTAATTAATAAACACAACTTTTGAATAACAAATTAATTTGAAATAAATTATAAATAATGTTCAAAGTTCATGTAAATTTTAATAGAATGGAGTGCTTCCCTTTTAAAGGACTTAATGGCGATACAAACAAAATTAAACATAACCCAATAGAAATCAAGGAAAAAAAAAAAAAAAAAAAAAAAACACGCAAAAGGGTGAATTTGATGGGCAACGTTGTGGCTGTAGAACAGGCAGTAATTTAGGCAGGACACGTAGCACTACTTCTATTTTTTAATTGTATATAAAAAATTAAAAAAAAAAAAGTTTGATTGCAACATTTTTGGCCCCACACTCACCCGTGACAAAGATCTTCTCAATGAGGATGAAATTCAATCATGAATTTAGAATATTTCCCTTTGCTTCCTCAACACTGTACAAGATATTAGTTCAAAGCTTCACTTATTGTTTAGTTAGGGCAAGAGAATTACTGGCTTCTAAGTTCTAATTTATGGGCTTCTTGTTTGCATCTGGCCCATTCCAACTGATTTTTAGTATTTTTTTTTTTATTTTTAAACGTAAATATCAAACGTGGATTTTACTACTTCTGAAATAATAATTTTAATATTTATTAATTAATTAATAATTTAAGTGTTTAATTGATTTAATTTTATAAATTGAAATATTTTATATAAAAATTATGCAAGTGGAAATAATTAATTATTGCAATTTTATAAATTAAAAATTTTAATAAATTAAATTAAAAGTGGAAGGTGTTAAAAAAAATTTACATAGTTAATTTATGTATTTAGTCAAAAAAAACAGTTTTTTTATTTTTGAAAGTTAGTAAAAAAAAACACAGTTAAGAAAGGTAATTTAACTTAAAAAAATAAAGAATTAAACTATATATATTTTTTTAATTCTGACATGTCATTGTCAATGCCAAAAGGTAGTACGACCAATTATTCGAGCCCGTGCACAAAATGATTGTTGAAAAATATAAAATGAATGGAAATTGGGAAGGAAAATAAATAAATTCTAAAACTTTTTTCACTTGTTTGAAGAGGTAAAAAAATATGGAAGGAAAATAAATATTAGGTCCACATGCTGTTTTTTCTTTCAATTTAGGAGAAAAGTTGTTGGAAAATAATTAATATTACAATTTTACACTAATTTATTGAAACAATCCGAAAATTTAATTTCATAGAATTTTCATTTAAAAATAAAATTTTTATTTCAACCAATAAGATTACACCAGCTAGTTTTTGGATTTCATATCTTAATGAGAGGCATACTAAGCGTTGGGATTTTCCGCCGAGAGACTAAATCATATTATTATTAGTATTGTTATTATTATTACTATTATTATGACTATTTAGTAAATTAGGGAAATATTGTAGAACCTAACTAAAGAGTCAAAATAAATCAAATCGAATCAGACCAAATCGGTTCGAATCGAACCGGAATAATCTAGAAACCGACCCACTTTCTTTCTTTTTCTCTCCTTTCTTCTTCTCCCAGCAGCGTCGATCTCACCCTCGCCCTTCACCTCCCCTCGTTTTTCCGACAACCAGAGACCCGCGCTGCGCCTCCTCGCCGTCGACTCCTCGCCGTAGCAGCCCGCCTTCCTTCCCTTCTCTCCGTTTCCATTTCTGGTGAGCACAAGAGTCACAGCGAAGCTGGGGACCTTAGCGCGATCGAGACAGTCGCGTCTCCGTCCTTCCCTCCGAGCAACTCCCTCCGACTATACTCTCCGGCGAGGTAAGTTGATTGTCCTCCCATTTCACTCCTTTAGAAATCATTAATCCATTTTGCATAGATTAAGGCGATAACGCAGGAAATAGAATCAAATGGGACTTAGGGATTAAGAAATAAAATTGGGAATTTGTAGATATTGACATGATCAAAATGGGACTTAGGGATTTAAGAAATAAAAATTGGGATTTTGTTAGATATTGACATAAATTGTAGTAGTTGGCTATAGAACTGAGTTCTATATGAAATTTGCTGCGTCTTGGCGTAAGAATTACGGTGACCGGAATTCCTCATAGACAGTATATTCCAATTTTTACATAGAATCTAGTTTTGCAATTAGTTTTGCACTTTGATATTGTATAGTGTTCGAAGCATTAGACGACAGAAATCGAAAATTAGGCTTCTAAGCCGTAAATATCACAGAAAGTTAAATTAAGGAGGGGTTGGTAGAAATACAGTAGCTAAGTTATTGGGTATTCTAATCACATGAATAAATTGGTTGTTAGCTTATTTTGTTAGCATGACTTGAGATTAAATTGAAGTTATAGTTTTATAATAAGAAAACTTTTAGTGTTATTGATTTCATATACAGATTATGATATAAGGATAAATAGACACGTGTTTACAATTAGTAACGGGTAAAAATATTTAGTTTTCTACGCCAAGACGAAGTTGAATTCATAAAACATGAATTAAAGTATGCTTAGGAAATGGGTATGTATATAAATAAGACTTATTGATTCAATTAAAGAAATTATTTTGTTTTTACTTATTAAGTAATTCATAGTAAATTATGGATTCAAGATATTGATTTGATAATTACTGTATAACGAAGAATGGTGGGTTGATAATGATAGGAGGATGGGGATTTTATTTAAAGTTCTTTGCCTGGTGGATGGGCTGCCGATTGTTTTACGGTAATTTAAACTAGATGTTGAGTATGATTAAGGAGAGATGCTGCCGGGTGTTCGGCGGAATATTTAAAAGCTAATAGGCCAAGTGTATTATTAGAAATCATTAGTTGACTAATAGAGTTATAATAGGATACGAGTTACTATTGATTTATTGATTAAATTTGTGGATGCAAATAGGTGTAATACAAAAATTGAGTAATTGTTAATAATTATGCTAAAATAAGATAAATAATTATCCTAGTAATAAATCAAATAGATTATAAGTTAGAACTCAAATCTTGATCAAGAAACCTTAAACATATAACTTCAATTGGGAAAATTCGATAATTGCATTTAAGTTAGTATACCATTGTTTGAACTATAATATGGTTTATAAGCATGTTTTTAAAAGATTTGAATATTATTACAGCAAGTAGCATTGTAATTGGAACATAAGATGGTAACATCTGTGATTGAGTTCTTATATATATATATATATATATATATAAAGATGTTTCATTTATTTGTCAATTAGCTAAAGAAGCTGATTATATTTATGTGAAGCAAAGAATGTTCAGTAATATTATTGGAACACGTTTGAAGGTTATTATAC